TAACGTGAGCATCGGCTTCCCCTATTTTAGGCCTCTGGTCGCAGACACCCGCCCATTCCTCATTTCGCCATAATGCTAGCAGCTAGTAGTACCTTCAACCTCCGCGCAAGTTGTCATTTCGCTGTTTGGAATCGACCCTGATTGAATGGGGTTGGCTTCGTTTGGAGATGGTTTGCCACGGTGGGGCTGGCAAATGGGATGGGCTTCGGGCAGGGGACGAAGAACTGCTACCGGCTGCAGGAGTTTCGCACAGACATGTTTTGCGACCCGCTCTCGAGAAGACCCTCGACCGCCTGCACCGAGGGGCTTGGGCTTTCTGCTTTCACCTAAAGTCCGACTATGTTCGACGAGTGTACGTTAAGGAAGCTTGATGAAGGTGTAGCTGGTGGTTTCAGTCACAAAGAGTTGATGGAAGTGATCTTGGCTGGAAGATCGTCCAACAGTTAACACTGACTTCAACTCACCCAAGGAGCAATCATCGAAAGCCATCGAAGCTGCGATGCCACCGGCGAATGGCCGAGTGATCACGGATGTCAGCTCAGCTGCATTGTCACTTTGTTCTCCGTATCAAGCTGTGCAAGCTTTTCTCTCTGGATTTGTTCATACGCTGTGTCATTCGTTGGCAGTTGGTGTGAAGTGCGACAGCTGCAGCAGTGTGGGTTGATGTGTCTGCATGAGTCTCAACCGACCGTTGCTGGTGGTTAGGTGCGATGGATTCCGCTGCATGCTACATTGCTACATGGTATGTCATTGGGAGATCACAAATCTCACTTCAGGCGAGGCCTTCAGCGTGCAGCTTCAGCGACAGGGGCCCAAGTCGTCGTGGCTTGGGACTTGGGACTCTGACTCGTTACCTTCGGGAGCTCCACCTGCTGCGACTCTGAGGTGGAAGTTCTGGCGGTCCAGTTTGTGAGAGCGTTGCTGCCGGCTTTGACTTGCGGCCTTGGCCAGCTTGGCCTCCGTCTTGGTCCCTGCAGGTCTGTGTACATCCATACCTGCCGACAAAAAAAATCGCTGCACGCGCTGGGTCGTGCGGCACCGGTGGAATGATTCTTAATAATTAGTCATTCGTGAACGCGGCGTTGGAACTTTCGACGAGCTTTGTATGACAGTGCAGCGACTGGCTAGGAGGGCGCGCGGACCATGCACTTCGTTTTCCATACTCCTGGATTGCCTTGTACATACAGATTGGCCTGCATCTGCAAATTTGGGCTGCAGATCTGTAGCCAGAGGGCCAGAACGCTTGCAGCACCAGGCGCTTGCAACGGTCCCTCAGCTGTACCTAGGACCTAAGTCATCCAGGGCTCTTTTTTGCAGCAAGTCCTTGCAGGGCGAGCCTTGATGATTCCAAGGCCTGCGATGAGTGCTGGATCCGTGGAGGAATGGGCGCAGAAGGCCCTTGCTGTCTTAACAAGAGTGCGCTCGATATGTGGACCTTAGCCGAATCCGTTCATTGCAGGATAGCCTACAAGCCCTTTTCAACCGCATCGACTCCAACTGCGATGGCCTGAAGCTCAGACAAGGTATGCAGCATTACGCCATGCAAGCCATGGCTTCCGGTCGAGAGGCGATAGTCACCAGTCTCGCATTGGGCATTGGGCCGAGCAGAACCATTCATAACAAATTGAAATTTACAACACGCAGTGGGCGCGTTTCCCAACGCATGCCGCGCTTCTCCGATCGAGCCGCATAATGCTCGTAGTATCCTGCGGGTTGCAAGATCCAAGGAACCCTGAGCACAGATGAGCTGCGGCGCGCCCTGTGCGCCATTGGCCTAAAAAGCGCAGACGTTGCTCGGCCGGAGTATTCAGCAGTCTCACTTGTAGCAGGGGATGGATGCAACAGTGTGCATGCCTGAAAGGTCCTGAAGGCCAAGTCTCAAGTGTATGATGGGGAGAGTCGCACGAAATTTTGTCGCAGCAGCTCAACATGCGATAACATTCGCAAAAGATAGAGCATGCTTGCTACATCGGGAGGTCACCACGATCTACAAAATCATGGTGTCTCGGCCACCAACTAGTCGTCTGGCACTGGCCAAGTGTCATATCAAAGTGTTCAATGATGACACCGTAACTGTGAAGCAGTCCTTGCGTTTATGCCGTCGATATTCCGAGGACACCAACTGTGATGATCGCGTGTCGTACACAGAGTTCGTGAAGTGGTTGTTTCATGGCTCGTCGGAGGCATGCAGCTTGGGGCTAGCAAGGGCAGGAAGATGGATGTGCCAGCTTCCGTGCATCGCCTTTTGAACTCCACAGTCGCGATCATTGGGTACACAGACTCGGAAACACCTGCAAAGCTGCAAGCGCAGGAGACAGTTGCAGATTCTAGAAGCCCAAGACCTGTAGAACTGAAAGATGCAATAAAGCTATTCCAACAAGAGGTTTGCAGGCCGCCATGAGTGGAGATGAGGTGAACGCACGGCTCGATAGACCAAACGGCGTCAGGCACAGGTCATCACGAAGAAGGTAATGGGTGGTCCAGCCACGGCTGCCGAAGCTCTTTGCCTGCAGGGAGCAGTTTAAATACAAAGAGCGTGGAACAGAGATTCCATTACAGCGCACGGATCGAAGCTCAGAAAGGAGAACTTCGTTCCGGCATCTTCAACAGCTTTCTGCAATGTGTGAGACGAGCCGTGTGTGAAGAAGCAAGGCCATGGACGAGTTTGTCTCCTACATCCAGGAGCTGAAGGACACCCCTCCAGCGGAAGGCAGAAGATCGTGTAATGTGCGGACCGTTGGGCTGCCCCCGCAATCGTCTTTGGCTGAGGTGAGAAGCCCACGAAGCTTCGGGCAGCTTGGCTTCAAGTCTCAAGCCGTTACACAGAGCGTAGCGGCATAGCTGGAGAGTAGGCGGTGGTTAGCAGCTCAGCGTCGCTCTGCACGTATCTGATCTTAGGACATCTTTCGAAAGATGGATGGTTGCTTGGTGGATTTTTGCAGACACGGCACAGTTCCCACACAAACGCGTGCTGACTTGGTGTCCGTACTAGTGACTAACTGTGAGGGCTCCAGGCCCCCAGGCTGGCAGTTGCCAAGATGTATCCCATGGGTCCCAAGCCCCACACTGCCAAGAAAACGGAAGCGGCAAGATCTCCTTCACAGAGTTTCATTCGATGCTTGGTCCGCACCATCCTTCTCCACGGGCTGAGTACGTGACCAGGGAAGAAGAGTGGCCTGATGACTGAATCGGAAGCACTCCACCTCATGATAAGGGTTTATGATACGATTTATGTCATCTTGCGGAAAGCTGCGTGGGCTCTTTGAGATGCGGGGCTGAGTAAGGAAGTTGTGACTTGTGGCCAAGCTTTAGATGGGTTGCTGTTGAGACAGTCGGCAGCAAAATGGTGCCGATCAAGATGAAGTCGCCGATTGTAGGAGCTGCAAATCTCTCGGCTTTGACATGACCGACGAGATGCTGATGCCTGGCCGCAGCTGTGCAGCTGGCATGGTCCATAAGTTTGGCATGCTTGCAGCATCGGACACGCGTCCCATGCTCAGTCTAAACGACGGGAGCCTTGTACTTCCCAGGGCCAGCAACAACTTTGACATATTGTAACTGGCTTTGTGACATGTCGTGGTTACATTCGTACAGCACACATCAGCACACCCCAGATGTTGGAACTGGACCTTCCGTTCTTTACAGTTACTGAGAGCTATACCCATGTGTCGTGTTACGTCACAAGTAAGTTGCTGCACATCCGAGGAAAGAAGTGTTTGATCAAATTGATGTGAAGACCCCAGACTTCTGCCAGCTTGGTACGGGGCAGCACAGACTCTGCGAATCACACCGATCCGTGTCCATGGACTGTTCCAACTGCGACGTCGCAGGGGCTCGCAAACAAGAGCTTCGTACGCTGTGTTGAAACGCTGGCTCTATTGGCAGACTCATTACTGAATCAGTCCGACCGAATCGTGCCGCTTTTCGACAGTAGGACTACTTCGTTGGCACATATCCGCTGAGTTGGGAGGTCCAGAAAGCCCGGAAGAAGAAGAAGAAGCCATTGACGCAAGAGGAGACAGTCTTGATGGCAAGCGTTGTGAGCCAAAGATGGCACCTTTGTGACTTACAAAGACCCGCCGGATTCGGGATCGGAAACAGATGCAGGCAATGCCGATGAAGATGGTAGCCGGTCTGTTCATCGCTCTACAAAATGACACGATTCAAGATTGGGTTTCTCTTCCACCTAGTAGCAATGCCGTTGCCTCGGCCCCAAACCCACATACCGGCCGGGCACCCTGCTACTAATCCCTTCGAGGGTCAACGGTCTGATCAATGTACGATGTTGAAACCACACATGAGGGACGAAACTGTCACAGTTTCACACTTCGGGTGGGTCGTAGATGTCAGGCCAGTTGCTGGTGCTCAAACTCCAGTTCGAGGTTGCCTTTCACCAACCCCCGGGGTCAGCCTCGTTCTCGCAAGGTTATGCAATTTCTTGCCGTTTCCACACACATAGCCTCCCTTTAACGTGTTGTTAGTATAGTTGGGGCCAGTTGGGAATACCGTTGTTCGGTGTCTGCAGTAACTGTAGTAGGACCCCCCCTTTTTTTGTAATCTCTACGTGGTTCGGCATACCATACTATGCAGGCCGTTCAGGCTGACTAGAGGTTAACTCGCATCTTGGACACGTCTGATGGACAGTGGAATCTTGCAGGCCTTTTGATGCACGATTAGAATCCATGAGCGTGAGAGTTTGTATACTATAGCCATAGCCACGATATTAGTGTTCTGCCAGGAGCTTTGCGTGGACAATTTGCCAACATGCCCGAGAAACCCCAGCAAACCTCAAAATGTAAACAGCTTCAAGAGCCTGCGTCGCGCGCAAACCTTAAAACCAATGCAAAGCAATCCCTCAACACTGTAAGGAAACCCGTAGAACAGCCTGAACCCAGAAGTGGGACCCGAATCCCAAAACTTTCTGGATAGCAAACCCTACAGTAAGCTCAAGGCACAGACCGGTGACAGGAGGGAGACCACTGCTATTCAAGAAGCGAGAACACATGCTGCAATACCGTACCCCGGCAAGTGCCACTTCAAGTCATCGCAAGGAGCAAGACGAAATTATTGCGGAAGCAAAGGCGCCGCGTGGTGGCAGTTGGCTTGCGAATGGTCAAGCTTCGTGGTGTGTGTTGAACATACTTCGTGAAGTACCATTGAATGCGCATCACATGCCCCGGTGGCAAAGTCCACGCTCCGACTCTCAAGTTCGAACAACTGCCTCAAAAAGGAATTTGCAAAGGACCTACTAGTGAAAAGTATGGGACGAGGCTCGAATCCGCCGTAGACGTTATGCTCCTAGTGGTTGCATGCAAGTGGCTGAGGAGACAAGCGGAAGATCCCTCTGCGGCCTGGTGTAGAGGAGTGAGTATCTAGGATTTCGATGCTTGTGCCACAAGTAGTCACTGCAGACCGATGCTAAGAGCCGAGGTGGAGATTCCGGAGTTCATGGATGGCTTTCCGAAAGGACTGCCTATCCCCTCTCGTCTACTATCATAAAGATAAGCTTTCCAGCCCGTCGGCAAGCTTGGAGTATCACCCTTGGAAGGAGACATTTCCTGTTGGCTCAGCCATGAAAAGGTCTACTATGACACCTGGCGTCTGAAATAGCTCTGCTTTCCGGGGCACGGGGCACGTGCTTGGGGTTGGGATGACTGATGTCGACTGGTAACCAGTGGGGCTCTTGTCTAATGGCTGTGCGATTGTGGGCGGGTGTTTATTCAACAGTAAAGCCCTGCAGTGCTGATGAGTTCATTTATCCAACAGCCGCACTTCGATTCCTTCGCGACATGGGGCAAGCTAAGTGCGGCTCCAACAAGAAGTATCTGAAGCAGCGGCGGCTGATCTATGATCCTTATGATGCTTGTCTGCAAGCCTTTGGCGCTCACTGCAGACGGTCTACGCAAGCCTTGGATCGTGCTGAAATGGCTTGCGGAAACTAATCCATCGGTGAGTCCTTCGATTTTGCTTGTTGCGACCACGACACCGGAGCGCATTCTCGAGGCGTCGACGAACCGGGATTTCGAGATTACCTTTGCTGAGTTCAAGAAGGCTGCGTGTTACGAGTTCGCGCAGTCTGACCAGGGTTTGTTTCGGGAGGCCTTCAACGCAGTCATCCCGACCAAGAAGTCCTCCTGAGCAACTCGCGGCCTAGGCACCAAGAAAACTTCGATTGCTAGGCTTGTCGGAGGAGTCTTGCTACTTATGCCGTCAAACAGTTGTGAGAAAAGCTTCTTGCAGCGACAGCGCTAAGCCAAGTTTCTGATGAGGCCTACTTCTGATTCTGACGATCAACTTTCACCCTGGGTTCAGCCCTGGGGCAGTGACCAAAGTGGCTGCCAGAGGAACCGCCAACGGTGGCTGCTCTGCTGACTGCAGGTGTGTGGCCCAGTCGTCTCACATGCCGAGGCTCCGAGGCTTTGGCAGAATCTGGCACTGCCAGATCAGCTCACCCGATCGGCTTGTCTTCTCCACTCGACTTTGACAGCTGCCAGGTGCCAGATTCTGAAGTTTCACAGACTGCGTCGCGTCGTGATAGAGAAAATCCTGCTCTCCGCTTGCCGTCCCTATCGCAGAACCCGCCCAGGACAGCGCAAGGTCTGGCCATCCCTGGCACAGCAAAGCATGCAAAGCGCTTCTGCAGTCATGTAGCGGTGGCAGCAGTTCCAGAACATCACGAAGCACCGCTGCTGTTGCTGCGCAGCTTTCTGAACACATGTAAACATGAGGCATGAAAGCAAGCGCCAACGTGGATGGCGCAGTTTCAAGATAGCACCTGTCAGGAGGCGTAATGCGTCTCGATAACCTCGTATAGCAGAGGATAGAGAACGGTAGGTGGTGAACTTCTGGGATGCAATAAAAGTAGGCCATAGTAGGCCTGTCAATGCCTTTCAATCACGTTGAACCTGATTGATTACATGACGATTTTCGGCACTTGCTGCGCACCAGGGCCTTTCCAGATCGTTTGTTCGATCGTTTCCCTCTCAGATACAAGCCAGTGCGCAATTTTCGCATGCACCCAAGCAATCTGTTGCCCCGGAGTTAGCACAGTGCTGAAGCTGTAGCCATGCAATGTTGGCTCATTTCCGTCGTCGTCGTGGCCATCTCCACGATGATCCTACTTTTCATCTTCAGCTTCGACAGTTTAGAGCTAGGGCCTAAGACGAGAGTCGTGCTCGAAGGAATCACAGACGGCTGCGAGAGTTCAGCTCCAGACACCATATCCAGGGGAACAGGCATGGCCAGGCGATCAAACATTGGTTGCATGCTGCATCGTTGCTCGTGAGAAACTTGAGGCTACCAGCCTGTAACGTTTCGCCAAGACGTGCCAAGAAGTTGTGATTCTGTTGGCAGGTATCAGCAAATCGGGCTTAACTACAGCTTTCTCAGTGAGAGTGTTGAGAAGGAGCGCCTGCATGTCAGAACATGGGTCGCGTACATAGAAGCACATGCCTTCTTGCTGTATCGGGGCAAGGGGACTGAAGATGGATATTTTGAATGTGTCCTGGTGCTTGCCAGCAGGCGTAAAGAGTCGCATGAAGCAATGTTCGTTAAAAACAAGCTCGAAGGCCTTGCTTGATCGGGGCACCATTTTGAAGGTTGCGGCAAGTTTGTGGCGGCTTGTGAGGCCATGAAAGGCCTTGGGAAAAAAAGGTCCGTGCGCAGCAACCTTTTGCTGATCGCCCTTGCGTCACTGCACGTGAAAGCGGCTGACCTCTATCGTCGTCGCTAGAATCGTGGTTATCGTCGTAGTTTTGTCATCATCGTTGTTGTCATCGTCGCTATCATCATCGTCATCACCAGTGTTGTTATCATCCATGTTGTCAACGCGGTTGTCACCGTCGCTAGCACCATCGCCAGCATCGTCGTTAGCATCGTTGTTACCATCATCGTCATCAGTGTCGTTATCATCATCGTCATCACAGGTGTCGTAATCATCATTGCTATTACTGATCGTCATCAGCATCGCTAGCATCATCGTCATCATCTTCGTTATCAGCATCGGTAACATCATTATAATGACCGTCCATCACCACGATCTAATCATCAAGATGTTGAGCAGTGTTTTTGTTTCAATTTTTTTTGGGGGGCGGGGGGGGGGCGGGCTGGGACTTTGACCGTTGTGCGTGCCTGAATCCAGCGGCATCCAGCATCATTGAGTTAGCAAGTGTGTCAAACTCGGCTTCCTGGAAAGGAGCCCTACAAGCCTGGCAGCTGCCCGTCTGCAGTGGGTTGTTTCCAGGGAGCTTGTCGCTCAATTACTGTAAGCAAACTGAAGGATTCAATCGAGAACGTACTTGCAGGTGATGTCCCCCTGCGAATCTTGTTGCATGTACGCAAAAGCAGATTAGAAACGTCATTTTAGGCTGGTTCCAACCTCCTTCTCAAGGATACTATCTCGGCGTCACGAACCGGTTCATCAAGTTTCCTCGGACAGCGACCTGCCTGCATCCGGCACCACATTCCACCGGCCCGGCACCCCCCCCCCCCACCCAAACTGTTTTCAAGCCCACGGTCCAATCCGAAGTCTGGTTGAAACCAGGTGCAGTCCATCAGCTTCATCGACGATTGGGCGGAGGGCCTCCAGGGTCCGGCGTTGCAGAGCCGGACAAAGGACGGCCTTACCGTTCACTTGGAAACTCGGAATAATTCAGGCGGTTCTGCGAAGTCCACCAATTCCAGAATGAATCAACACATGCTATCGCAACTTGACGGTTCTTGAAAGATGCGTTGCTGCAAATTGCGAAAGACAAACCTTTCGTCTCAGCGTCGGAGGCTGTAGTCTTTCGAAGCGATGCCGCTGCTCGCATGTCCGAGGAAGTGTCTTTCCAGTACAAGCTGATCTTCAGCCAGCTCTACAGTTTGTCAGTGGCCTAGACGGGATTGGGATCTACATAGAAAAACCTCTCTGTTGCATCCGGCATCCGTTTGCAGGTGGGCAACTCTTGGCCACGACCACTATGAGACGACCTTCACGCGGATGGCCATGGAGCAGCTGTCTACAGCCACGACGCACCACAATGCGCACTTCTTCTTCAGGCCGAAAGCGGCCTTCACTGCATGGCCATGCGAAGCCTCCAAGCTCTGCGTCAGGAATCGCACCTACGTGAGCAGAGAGATGCATCGAAAGCTTGACGCGACGTGACGGCAAGCGCAAGGGGCATTGAGTCCAGCTGCCATCCACACATTTGACATGCAATGGTTTGCCTTTGCGTCTGCGTCCCGAAGTTTCTTGATTGACGGATTATGCTGCAATATTCGTGGTTCTGCACGCAAACCAGAAACAGCTCTCCAGGAACATTTCCGAAAGCACGCGTTTGCAGAGGCCGGCCGAGTGCAGCGGTAGAATCAGCCGCTGCATTTCGATTGGAGCCGTGTTGCAGATGCAGACTAGCGGGGCCAGACTGCATAATTTGGCACCTGAGTTGTTGTGCCATAGTCGGAATCACTCGCCTCAGCACTGACTCACCACTGCACAACGCTCCTCCCTCCGCTTGTCACCCCTCCTCCCTCTCCTCTCTCCTCTATCGTCAGTCTGCTTCGGAGTTGATTTTTTCGTATTGGTTTAGTGTGCAGATTCGCAGGTGCCCTTCTTCCAGCTGCGCACCGTGCACTTGCCGGACGATTTCGAGGATGCAATCAGAGAGACCCAGGCCAGGGGCCGTGCCAGGTGACGAACAAAACCTGAAAGCCCTTCTCTAAAGGTGATGCTACAGCTTCTGGAGTAATGTATCGTCGTACTGTATCGGACCATGGGTTGCGGTATGCCTTTTCTGATGCTTCGTTGCCTCACGAGTTAATGATTCCCATCGCGTCGAGGAATGTGAGGGCTGTACCTGAGGACGCCACAAGCCGTTGCATCCAACAGCTATACAGTAAGGTGGCGCAAGTTGCTTCTGCAAGAAGGATTGTTTTTAGGAGTTCACATCCACTTTGCATCGGCCGAGGCTCACTGCAAGAGCTTCCGCTCCCCAGAAGAGAGCTTCTCCAGAGCATACCACCGGCAGGTGCAAGAGCAGCACATCCACATAGCACGTTTGGAGCAGCAGAAGAAGAAGGCAGTGCTGCTTTCTGCTGTGACCAGCAGTAGAGCTGGACGTCAACTTGCTGGCTCCTGTGGATTGCAGGTGACCTTCGCGACAGAGGTGCTCAAAGCCGAGCAGGTTCGGGCTTTGCAGCGCCTGCTACCGTACCGGTTTGCGTTGCCTTCCTGAGTCACGGCCGCATGTCGTAGAGGCAAGGCAAGTGCTTGTCAGCTCCCCCATGGTATTACACCAAGCAAAACAAGACCGATCCCCTCAGCTTTGCATTCTGCCCGCGATCAGGCAGTAAAGAAGATCAACAATGAAGCTGCGGCCAAAGCGTGTTCGGTCGTGCAGGGTGCATTGTCAGTCTGGGTGTTGCTCTGCTTCTTTCCCGACTCTGGACACCTATCCTATACGTAGTTGCACTTTCCCATGTAGAAGATCGGTAGCTCTGGATCCCCCCGAGGCTGAGGGCGAAGCCACGGCAACGCTGACCAAGAACCGGGCGTATTGCTGGAGACTGACAGCTGACGATTAGCCGACACGCCCGTGATGTTAGACCATCCGTGCGGACGTTTCGGTTCGAGGTGAACAGTACAAGTTCACCCAAGAGGTCCAAGCAGATGCCCTCGAGCACCTTGGCCGGTACTTGTGTTTCATTGCATTCGGAATAATTTCTGGTAAGCCGGCGAAGATGCAGATGCTCAGTTGTTCATCATGGCATGAGCCTGTGACTCCGAAAAGGTGGGCCCTGAAAGTGAGTCATGCTTCTGAAGCTTTCGGAGCCGCAGCCCTTTGCTTGGATCGGTCTTGGCATCCTACATCCATCCGCCATCTGTACGATGAACACGGCGGCCTTCGATGTCGAGAGTCTCAGCCCAGGCTACCCTCCTGACAGCCCTCCAGTGCCGCGATTCTTCAAGTCCAAGGAGTCGAAGGTCGTGAAGGCGGTGAAGAGGGAGGAAACGCTCGAGTCCGTCAGCCAAGGCAGTACAGACGCGAGTCGAGGTTGTCGAGGATTCTTCACCAACTATTCCGACGATGAGAATTCAGAGCCGGATTTGAGCTCGAACGCCTTGAGCTTGCGTGGACCCCCAGGACTTTGTCAGCAAGCATCTTGGCGGCACCAAGCCCTCAGGTCTTTGTCGTCGCTTGGCTGCGGAGGGCTTGTTGAGCCGAGGCGCCACCAGTTACGGCTGCACCGTCGTTGGAGTCATCGGCAAGCCATGCAAGCCCAACCAGTCCGAACTCGGGACGTGAGATTTTCCGGCGTCTCCAAGAGCTGGAGACTTTGAAGGCGGCGCTGTCGCAGTTGGAGGCGGAGGAGAGGATTGCGATTGCTCAAGCCAACGCACGGCCAGACCCGGCGTGGGATCCCAGCGTTTGGAAGTGATCCCAAGACAGCGCATCTGCTTCACCGCGTCTCAGTGTCTCTGAATCTGGTCAAGACCATGACTGCACTTTCTTTGAGGCTCTCATGGCGAGAATGCCAGCTTCGATGTTGAGTTCTCAAGCGGCTGTGCGGCAGGAAGACCTCTTGCAAGAGTGGAAGCGCATAAGAGACAGATGCCACTGATACCCCGAGGCGATGTTGCGGGCTCCGGAGCTAAGCGGTCTGGGTCGTTCTTGGCCTCCAGCGGCTCCCTTGAGCCATAGCCAGAGCTTCCAGCCGTCCCTCCTGTCCACGGTTGCAAATCCCAGCTTCCAAGACTTGCAAATTCCGCCCTTGCTCGGGCCGTCTCTGAGTGGAGCCGTTCCTGCAGCTCAGGCTTTCGTCTCAGGGCGAGCCGACCCCGACCCAGCCCCCATCAGCTCAACCGGCCCAGCCACACACCGGAAGCAGGCTCCGGCAGAATTCGCGGTCCAGAAAGGCATCAATCAGGAGTTGCTCGCCGCCTCTGCCACCGAAGACGAGGGTTGTGCTTTGCAGGCCAGGTGTGCTGAGTGCGTGCGGTCGTTTGAGCCATGCCTTAAGCACTTCGTGATGTGGGCCGAGCCACCTTTCGATGTAGGTCCTCGCCGTTGCCTCCAAGTATGTGGACCAGATGAACGGCGTGAACCTGTCGACGGCGATCCATCGCATCGCCCGCGCCTGTCAGCGCTTTAAGAACTCCGCCGAGCAGGTCAGAAAGGTGCAGCGGGGCTGGAAGCTTCCTCCGGGGGGGGGTTACATGAGGGTCTCGCAGGGTGGGGGAATAGAGTAGTGAGCAGGCTCCGAGCTTCGTGTCCCTCGTCGTGGCGGCAGAGCGCATGGTCCTACAGGAGCTGGAGCATCGGGATTCACAGATGCCAGTGAAGTGCTGCACCATCATCGCTTGGTCCTGCGCCAGCCTCCGTGTCTTCCGGAATTCTCTTTTCAAGGCCCTTGCTCGGCTGGCAACAGTGTCCCTCGAGCAGTGCCAGTCCTACGAGATGACGAATATCATGTGGGCCTTTGGGGAGCTCTGCAAGAGCCGTCGGCAGCTGAGCAAAGATTTGAAGGAAGACCTCCGCAACCTCTTGGAGGCGACGTGCAGTGTCTTCATCGCCAGGCCCATTGGATGGAAGCTCCAGGTGCTCATGTCTGCCCTCGTTTCCTTGACCATCCTCCCTTGGCAGCCCTGCAGCCAGCGCCTCTTCACAGACATAGCCAGAGAGGTGGCCGGTCGCCAGCAGGAGCTTGCCAATGAGAAGACCAAACCATTGGCCATGGCCTTCCATGAGCTCCGCACCAAGAAGCCCCAGGCGACCGAGAAAGCTTAGAAAGAGAAACGCCTCTTGCCTGTCATAGCCCTTCAAACGTGCCCGAAGCCGCAGGCCTTCAAGGAGATCATGATGGCCTTGCAGGACTTCCCCGACTTCGTCGCACACCCCTCGCTGCGGGGCAACCGCTCCTGAAGCCAAAGGTCTGTCGGGAAATGGTGCTGATTCTACCGGACGAACGGGTGCGAAATATTCTCCGGTTAAACAGAGCTACCGCCACGGCACACCTTTCTCTGTCGTCTGAGGAAGTTTCTTCAGTAAAGGCAAGTTTATCTGAATCCTAGCGAGCCAATGTGAATCGTGCGACTCATGGAATGTGCGTGCTGGCGGCTAGTATGCATTTAATCTTTCGCAAGGGACGTTCCCTGCTGCACGATTTCTGACCAAGACGTGTGCGGGGTCCTGCCGCTGCCTTTGCCAAGCCATGCGCTGCGACAGAGCAAGCCCACAGTTTCCGGTTTTAGGTTGAGGTTGAGGTTTGCTGCCAGCTGCTTGGGCCGTGTCTCGCCTACAGGGGCTAGTCTATCTCGGAAGACGGAACAGCTGAAGCCGGGGTCTGCGGCTAGCCTGCACAGTGCGTGCTTGAACACTTCCATCCTTCATTTCTTGAGGGTCCGTGGAAACTCAACTAGGGCGAGATTTGATCTCAGGGCGGCCCAGAGGATCCAAGGCTCACTTTCTGCAGTACCAGTCATGAACAGAGACACCACCCCTCAAAGAAACGCAGGAGCGGCTGAGTGCAAACATGCGAAGCAGAGGTTTGCCCTCGCCCAGGATCTGTGTTCCATAATTTTTGTGGACAGATGTGCTGTGCCGAAAGATATGCGTACATCTGCCGACTTGTTCGGGAAACGCTGCATCTCCCTACACCTCAAAAACGTGATCGAGTGCACGTCCTGGATTTCCGGAGCTTTGGAGCTCATTCCGATCAGAAGCTCTCTCAGTAGTGAAAGGGAGGCGAGCCGCTTCGAAGTTGCCGCTCCCGCCATTGAGAGTGTCTGATGCACGCAGTAGTCCACGAGAGGCGCTGCCGGAAAACAAGTGCACCCAGAAGCTGACGATCTCAGACCCAGGCATCGAACCCGAACCCCAAACAGCAGATATGCACAAAATGAAGTTGACCTTAATTCGCAAGCCCGAGACACATTTTCGCATGCTGAGGGTTTGAAAGAGCCTGGCCAGCATTCTCCGAGGAAAGTCCTCGCAGCCAGTGGTTGGGCAGCACCACAGCTACTGGACTTCCTGGGGCTGCGTGCCTTGGTGAGTATGGTTGCCTTTTATTGAAAAAGGTATTTGACCCTGACCGACTCCACTTCCCAGGTTCAACGTCGTTCATGTGTCCTGCTAGTTGAAGGTGTCGCTATTACGAGCAGTAGATCCTGCGTAGATTTTAGCTCAAGCTGCTTCATCGAGGTGCTGTGCGCGATCATCCATCTGAGAATACGCTGATCCGAATTTGATTCAAGCAGTATATTGGGGATGAGTTTCTTGGACGTAGGCGGAGGAGCATCCATGAGTTGCAAGGCAGCTGCAAGCAGATGACGTAGCAGGCTTAGACCACTGCGAGCATCTAATTGTGTACAGACTGTTCGATGCAGTCAGCTGGCAGAGAGAAGCTCAAAGCAGCTTTGGGCACCATGCAAAGACAGGGTGTGGCGGGGAAACTCGTCGCTCAGCCATCCCAGAGCTTGCTGCTGGCTGATGTATGTATGCATCTCTCTCTCTCTCTCTCTCTCTCTCTCTCTCTCTCTCTCTCTCTCTCTCCTGGCTGATACGGATGCACAGCACGCCCACGCCGGGCCAGGAAGGACGATGCTTCAATCTCTTCTGGGGATCAAGGTTTGGTCTTGAAGGCAAATGCGGAAAGGGAACACAGAGCAGTAGGTCATTAGGCCATTAGCTCATTGCAAGGCGACAGGCGACAACCGGCTTGGACAAGTGAGGACTCTGCCTTGCTCGGAAGATCTAGCTCCTGCGTGCTGCGTGCTGTTGGCCAGTGCGCGAGCAGTTGGAGACCCTAGGCAGCATTGGCTTAGGCTTGGCAAGACGCACTTCAAATACGGTGCTGGAAAGACGCACGACTACTGTACAAAGTACTACATGCATCTGTGACCTGCAGTGGCTGAACCTGAGGTGCATGGCAGAAGTTGCAGCAGGCTGTCGCCACGCTTCGTTAGCATTATCTACAAGCTGTGAACATTAGTGCTTCCAGTCGCTCCAAGTTGCGGCAGCAGTAGGCCAAGACTTCCAGACGCTGGAAGGATGGTGCAAGAGCCTCGGACCATCCCGCAGCTCTGATTCATGCAGATGCCGAATTCTTGAGTACTGTGAACGAATGGGCGACGGTTGCCACCCTTTGAGCAGCAAACTCCTGTGCAAAGGCGAGGAGGCTGTGCGGCGATGGAACCAAACACTCAGTGGCTCTGGCGAGGATGAGGGACAGGCACAGTGCACAAGGTGTCCCGGTGCCTCCGACCCATTCTGAGTCTGGTCAGGAGGCTCGTCGCTTCAAGGCTGTCTCCTACACAGTCAGATTTCTCCTGGCTGTAATCCTTCTGCGGGGGCCTCACATCCCATCCGTCTTGCAAGCGTTTGCAATCATGGAAAATCCCGCAAGCTCTTCGAACCCTGAAAACCTTGCCAGAGACGACGTAAACTCTTGAACGGTGCCAGCACATCCAGCAAGTTCAAGACTGCTTGATGTAGAAAGCTCGAATTAAGAACCTGAGCTTTCATCATGTATGCGTGAACGAGCGCAGAGTGCCAGGCAGGACTTTTGCTTGGTAAGAAGCGACAACGGCCCTGGGATGGGAGGATGGGATGGGGGCGACGACGTGTAAATCCAGGGAAGCCATTGGCGAGGCGGCTCTCGCTCGAGATCCCACCGAAGAGTCAATTCGAGTTCCGATTTCCTCGTAGTCCTAGTCCTTCACGAGTGAATCCCTGTGCCTACTGGCAGTTTTCCCACCGCAGTACTGCATGTATCCAACTTCTTGTCATCTTGGACCATCCGGTGACATAGACCACATCCGTCGCCCATTGCAGAAGCCTTTAAGTACTTATTTCGTCGTCCCCCCAATTTGCTACAAACACAGGTTGAAGACATCTCGACCGTCGCTTTGGCGTGTCTCTGTGTGTATGTGTGCCAGGGTCTGTGTTGATGCCAACAAATTCAGTTGGCTTCTGACAAAATCTGATGGCAGCGACGATGGTGCTCGATACTCAGTCAATACAGTGTAATTTGTGGACAATGTCAGGTGCGTTGCCGCTGCTGCGTGCGCGGGATACCGCCTACAGGACATCTACCAGGCAGATTCTGCACAATGCGAATCCAAGCGCTGAAAGCATGCAACTGTCTTTGCATTGAACAGTACAGTTGTTAAAAACTTGTTCTTGACGGTCCGCGACATTGCCGGACATTGCGGTGGCAGTAAGTATGTACCGGAACGGGCAGCACAAAGACGTGGATCTGCGGCGGCCAGAAAGCCGCAAGCAAAATGTTGGAAACCGAGCTTTGTCGATCTCTCGAAAGAGCTTCCACGGCCTTCAGAATGCAGTGCAGGCATGCCGCATCCCAGCGGCCCCAGCGACCCCGGTTCCAGAGGAGGAGCTGGCTCCTCGATCAGGCCGGGCAGCCGTGCCAAAGCACGTCGAGACCGTAACCGTAAAGACTAGAACATACTAGACCCGAACCCGTTGACCAAAACGTGTGCATCATGCCGGACTCCAAAGCGGAAGCTGCATCCTTGACACCTACCGACCTACCGAGGTGTATGCTAGTGATTCATGCTGGACTCGCTAGCGTCTTGGCATCTCTTCGCCAACTGCGAAACTGATAAACGGAGTCCCAGATTGGCAGGGTGTTTCCTGTCCGCAGGGCTGCTGCTGCTTGTCATCGGGCTGATCACTGTGTTTCAGCTTGCTGTCATTATCTTGGCCGGAACCTCGGTAGACACAGCTGGCAGGGCAGCTCAAGCACTGGCCTTCGTGGCATGCTTCAATAAACAGAAGACATGGACCCTTTCGAAGTTCAGACAGCCCTTGGCCAGGGGGATCGGTCGTGGTCTCGGCTTCCTGAGTCATGCTTTAAGGTCGCCAACTGTTGCGCGGGCCCGCGCAGCAAAGAGGCAGCAAAGCGGTTCGGGGATGGGTTCAACAGACGACATTCCAAACCAGGCTCAGAGCAGCTAAACCTGAAGTATGTTTGGGAAGTGTTGCGGATCTGTCATGCTTTCAATTTCGGGTGTGCATCTGTTTCGGTGTTTGCGTTGTTTTGACAAAGCAGCGCAAGAGCTGACAAGCTAAGTGCATGTCTATATATATATATATATATACACATGTACATAGACACTTATCCACACATATTTCAAGTAATTGTACCGATTGATATATATATATATATATATATACGTACATATATATATATATATACATATACATATACCATATATATATATATATATATATATATATATATGTGCAAGGTTCTGCTAGTTTAATTATCCGCTCGAATATCGGCATCAATGTACGTGTTTGCATCTATGTCAGTCTGTGTGTCGATGTGTACGTGCTGGCCGAATGCACGAGGCCCCGAACATTCCGCGCTTAATCACGATTTTGCTTCGTCCGCCAATCAGCAAACGTTGCCCATTTGGCATCGATTGACTTGTCTCTTCTCTTCGGAGGCTGTATCGTGAGATCCGGGGGGCTGTCTCTTCCTGGCTCGCCAGTCACAGCTTAAAGGGGGCTGGTAGGTTGGACGGCCCGCCGAGATCAGAATTTACAGAGGAAGTCCGGAAAGGCTTGGCATTGGACTCTGAAGGGCCTCGCCTGCGCAGTCACATGCAAGCATGCACGAGTCCCCTGCCTTTTTCGGAGTCGCAGAAATGCAGTTGAGCAGCTCGGTCTGCGCCGACTGCCTTGTCTGGGCAACGGCCTCATGAAGTCGGCCGGACAGGTAGAGCTCAAGTTTAGGACGATGCTTGTGCCAGAAGGTAGTACTAACGCATCAGCTGTCCCGAGTCGGACAACTTTTGCTTGGGCGCACGTTGCATATTCTGCATAGTCACCTGGACCTGGTGTGCTAACAAGCAATTCAGCCACCCTTCCACACTGCTCTACGTTTTTTTTTTTTTTGGGGGGGGGTGGAGCAGCGGAAAGCAGTACTAGTCGCGCTCGCACCTGGCCAGGCTATAGCTCTGTTAAACTTGTTTTGCGGAGCGTGTCAGCCAAACTGTATAAAGCTGCAAAGCTTCTTGACTCTTTGAGATTTTGAGGTTTGCCTGGGCCTAATCTAAACAGCCCTCTTCTACCAGGAGTGCAGGGCTAGGCCGGCATTGGCAGGATTGCTACCAGTAGTTGATCACCGCCCTCATTGCCAACCCTTTTCTTCCGGGTGGACAGGCTGCCTTTGTCTTCATGGCCCCAATGGTCTTCGCAACCAAACAAGCGAGTTGGGACTTGAAGCATGTCGCCAACACAAGGAGGAAATGCAATAAGTCTGGACGCATCTCCGGTGGAAGATCAAAGATCAATGTGGGCAGCGAAGCTGGAAACTGACCTGAGTGGGCATTGCTCGAATCAAGGGTAATCAGTCGGGTCGGCCAATGCTTGCTGGAAATATGCCACTTAACTTGTTTCCGGCAGCATTCAGCAAGTGCGTGGCCAACCCTTCAAAGACGAGCGACTTGCCGTTTGTCAACCGTGTGAAGAGTTCAGTTGTTGAGATGCAGCAGCTACATGTTGTGGAGTCGGCCTGCCTTACGAGGTAGCGAGCGAAGCTGACGACCAACTCGTTCATGCGCAGGACCTCCCCGAGTCATTTCCAGACCGACTGTTTCACCGCAAGAGCATCGAACACTGCTACAGGAAAGTTTTTGTGGAGCTTGAGTTCAACGATCGACATGAGGAGAAGCTGATCGATGTGGACGACATCCGGAATTGCTATTGAGTCATGCAGGTCAGTCGTAATTAGATGGGCCACTAAGTGTTTCTCAAAATATCTTGGGAGCATCAGCGCTTCAACGCAAGTAGTGCGGGAGAACAAGGGAGATCAGACGTCACTCTGGAATTCTCAGATTCCAAGAATCCAGCAAATCGATTTGTTCAGGACTCTCCGTTTCCGTCCTTGCAACAGGGTTAATCCATGCAGGCTGCAGTTGAACTTGCTCGAAAGTCTGGTGCTCCTAGCTCAGTTTTGCGGCATCGCCGGCATCCCAACGCCGACGGTTTGAGCGTTCCGTTCTCCATCGCATTGTTTGGCTACACCCAATCAATAGCGTCAGCAGCACTTCATGACACAGACGTGGGCTAGGCTTGGGCACCGCGAAGTGCGCGGGCAAGCGCAAATCCAACAGCATGATGTTGCATGAACATCGCCCCGAGCCGAAGCCACCAATTCTCATTGCTGTTGCACAGCGGGGTCTGCAGCAACCTCTTTCCGCAGCATCAAGAATGCCTGCGTCCGGTATATGTTAGCCCAAGCAGGTTTCGATCCACTGTCAATGCATGAAGGACAGTATCAAGCTTGAAGCAGTATGGCACTGTGAAGATGGTAGCATGTGACAGCAGCAGACCCAGCAGAATCCCAGCTGGGCCGATGCTGATCCTGCAACGTCTCGGATCTTTCGGTGCCTGGATCCAGTTCTCTTGTCGTTATTTGATGTTTCCCTCCTGCGTGCTGTTGGTTCTAGTCTGTGCCGTAATGTGCTGTCAGACGAAATGCCGCCCTGTTATTTTGCTGCTAGCCTATCAAGTATCTGGCACCTGCGTTACTACTGCAAGGATGGTACACGATCGTTCTACCCCTTCATTCGATACTCGCCCACAGCTTGTTGGGAGCCTGGGTCTAGGACATCTTGCATGTAAGAGGCGCGTGTGCAAGTCAACTGCTTACCTGTATACGCCGGTGTAGAAGCATTGCTATCGCGATCTGTCGTCGACTTCTGGTGCACATGGCGCCCGCCATATTCAATGCCGGGCCAACGTACCGGATGTCAGACCCATTTCGATGGCTTGAATTTTCAAGTAGGCCGCGGCGCTTGCTTGAGAGCTTGGACTTGCTGCGAGAGTGGCAGCAGGGTCTGCTAGGCTTGCTAATTAGGTGTTGCAGAAGTGATTTGAAGGAAACATCTTGCTGCACTGGTAGCTGCTCTGATTAGCTGATTAGCTAGCCAGACCCAAAGCCGTCCTTAGCGGCAGTGTGCACAGCTGAAGTTTTCATGCACCCGCTGTGGCGATGGCACAAGTGATGCGCAAGGTGGACCGTGTCTTGGGCGAATTTTTTCCCGTCTCACCACGGTGGTGGCTCTTCGTTGCAGGGGGGCTTCTCTTTTCAGCTCGCAGATATGGGGTTGCCGCATTTCGCGTCTTGAATTTGTGTTCAGGGAATCGGGGGCAAGCGCCGGGATATCGTATGTAGTTTTATTTGTCTGCACTCGGCGGCAGTTGTAGCCGAAGCTTGTTGGTAATTTTCTCTTAGGGAGTGTTTGCCGCCTGCCCCTTCTGAGCCGCTGCTTATGTGAGTGCAAGCGCGGAAGCGCGGTCAGAGAACTTCCACAAACACGTGTAGTCATGCAGCCACACCAGCAGGCTGGGACAGAGAATATAGGATTAGATTCGGACTGAAGGCGTTGTTGGGGTTGGGTGCATGAACCATGAGGTCACGAGGTAACGATCTGGCCTCCGGCCTTTGTAACGCTTCCCGGACGGCGCTTGTTCATGTGCATAGTGCCGTAATGGCCGGCCATTGTGTCTGATCCCCACTTGATTCCGTTAGCGCTCGTCTGTGACAGAGGTTTCCCGATCGTGCTTCCAAGTTTGAACCGGAATTCGAGCCGCCCAGTCTTCATCTGAAGCGACTGCGACAGAAGGAGCGGATGAACGCCGGCAGCAGTACCATGGCAGTTCCATTGCCGTAGCTACCAATTTGGAGGTCCAATGTCCAACCTTAGCTACGGGTTAACCGAGCGGCAAGTGTTAAGAGCCAGTTAGATGCAGAATGATGGCAGGAGTGGCATGAACATTGAGCCGAACCTGACCTAAGTTGTCGCACAAAATGTTCGAACCTTGTCTGGAGGCAAGCACCGAGCAACTCTAACTTACTTGAAGGTGCGAGGTAGAGCAGTAGACGGAATGCCTTGTCGCGCGCTTTCCGTCGCCCCGCAAAGATCTGCATGTACATAGTTACAGCTTCTCCGTTATGAGGACCAGCCAGGACTTGGCAGCGTTACGGATACACAGTCGGGACCGCTACTGAGAAACTTCTTCAAAGTTTCTCCTTTTTCCAACGCTATCTTAGCAGTTTTGACAGTGGTGGGGCACGAGACATTCTGGGGTTCAGAGCATATACCTAGTGGGCAGCGGTAGGCAAGAATCACACATGTGCGCAAGAGCAACCATGCTCTGAGATTCTGATACAGCAGATCAGAGAACCTCGGATGTATCTCGTTGTGTGGGAGGGAGGGCTGCACGATCTCTCACAGTTCTACAAAAGATCAAAGTCCTTTTCACTTTCACTCCAGCTTTGAACAGACGCTCGTTGATCGCCGGGTGTGGGAATACGCCTATGCCACCGGCGTTTCCGTGAACGAGCATGTCTTACAAGTGGTTGAGGAGAACAATTTCGCAGAGGCCCAGGGTGCATGGCGAGCTGTTCGCCAGATTCAAGAAGGGCAACATGGCTTCTTGTCTCTTGCCCGCTCTTAGAGCTCGCGTTTGCACAGAGGCGGCTTTTTCCGCTGGCAGACTCAGCTTGGCTTTGGCCCATTTGTAAACTGGGTTGGCACACCCAGGCTGCAGTGCATCGCTTCGTCTGAGGGTCGGATTACAAAAGGACTTTCCACAGCGACTGCATGCTCAGAAAGCCTGGCTGCCAAGTACTTAGTCATGTATCAGTGGCAAGCGGTCCGCAGGACGTTCCCTCATCCAGGTTTACGAGATACTTGTGCATGACACGCTTCGTACCATCACGGCTGATAAGAGGCCACACCGCATCAGTAAATCACTGCAAATCAGGAGGCCGTAGTCGAAGCCTGGCAGATGGTAGTTTGCTTCTCACGGCCGGCGTCCCTGGCATTCGGCAGGTGGATCCCGCTGACATATTGCTGCATGAAATAGTCGTTCTGTGGAAGACTCGGAGGGACATCGTGATTTGTGCATGCTCAAGCCCAGCTCCGCCGCACTTCTGCTCAACCAAAGGTCTTTGTGCAGCTTGCCAAGAAGCACATTATAGCTCTTTGAAGATCGCGCCATCCCTGCCGTCCTGCCGTCGTCAATGTCTCCATCGCAAGCGTTGCTGCCGAGAAATGAAGACTCGACAGCAAGTTCTGTCGCGAGTCTGCCATGAATTTGGTGAACACTTGCCATATTCCAAACGGAGATCTATGTCAAGTCATCTCGTCACACAGGGTCCGGTTCACAATCGTTGCAAGACATTGTGTTCAAGTTTGATCCATGCACATGTGTATTGTGCTAGTCAATTTGGCTTACATGTTCGCGGGAATGGTCAGGGACATCCTGGGCTCAAGTACCGCAAGAAATTGCAGGAGCTGCTAAGTGCAACCACGCACAGCCGAGGTTTGCGCTCTACCCAAGTTTGCGGTCCAGTGTTTATTTTGGACAGACGTGCTGCGTCGAAAGATGCGCGTACATCTGCCAAGTTGCTCAGGATATGCTGTATCTCGCTACACCTTGACGTGATCGAGTGCAGGTCCTGGATTTCTGAAGCTTCAGGGCTTCATTTATTCCAGCCCACTGAAAACATGTCAGAAGCATGCTCTCGGTGGTCAGAAGGGAGTCGAGCCGGTTTGCACTTGCCGCTCCCGACTTTAGGAAACTCTCTGAGCCGGGCAGTAGTCCACGAGAGGCGCTGCCGAAAAGAATTGCCCTGAGAAGTTGGAGCGTCTACGACTTGAGAACTTGCCAGTGGGTCAGGTCATGGTTCTGAAACTTCTTCAATCCGTAGCCCTTTGTTTGGATCACTCTTGGCATCCTACATCCATCCGCCATCTGTACGATGAACACGGCGGCCTTCGATGTCGAGAGTCTCAGCCCAGGCTACCCTCCTGACAGCCCGCCAGTGCCGCGATTCTTCAAGTCCAAGGAGTCGAAGGTCGTGAAGGCGGTGAAGAGAGAGGAGACCCTCGAGTCCGTCAGCCAGGGCAGCACAGCCGCGAGTCGAGGATTCTTCGCCAACTATTCCGACGATGAGAATTCAGAGCCGGATTTGAGCTCGAACGCCTTGAGCTTGCGTGGACCCCCAGGACTTTGTCAGCAAGCATCTTGGCGGCACTAAGCCCTCAGGTCTTTGTCGTCGCTTGGCTGCGGAGGGCTTGTTGAACCGAGGCGCCACCAGTTACGGCTGCACCGTCGTTGGAGTCATCGGCAAGCCATGCAAGCCCAACCAGTCCGAACTCGGGACGTGAGATTTTCCGGCGTCTCCAAGAGCTGGAGACTTTGAAGGCGGCGCTGTCGCAGTTGGAGGCGGAGGAGAGGATTGCGATTGCTCAAGCCAACGCACGGCCAGACCCGGCGTGGGATCCCAGTATTTGGTTCAGCCCTCACCTGACTCAGAACCCGGCCGTACTTGTGCCCAGCATTCTCTGTTTAGGCTCCTGGCACAATGATTCACGACGTTCAAGTGACAACACCCAGGAGTCAAACAGCCATCTGTGCGGTGATCCCAACCGACTCCGACATCTTGTGACAGCACACTAAGCCCACTGAAGGCCTAATGCCTAAGGAGGCGAAAACTAAGGAATGAACTGAACGAAACTTTGCATCAGAAACCAACAACCGTGAAGAGTGAACCCGACTCGAAAACGGACAACGGAAGCTTAAAATAGCGAGAACTCAGCAGGAAAAGCACAAGGAGTGAACTGAGTTTCATACCTCGCATCAGAAGCCGACTGGCCGCCCCACGCGGGCAGCCCCAAAGCCGAATCCCATAGCAGAACCCGCGCAGCCGCAGACCCTGAGGAGTGAAACCCGACTGGAAACCTCAGATCGGAAGCCGGAAGAAACCCTGAGAACTTAGGGCGTGAAACCGAAAGGAAGTGCCGATCTGTGCTCCCCAAGCCTTGCATCAGACTTAGAAGCGACTAGCCACTCACCCCCAACCCCAAGCCAGAAGCCGAAGCTGGAAGGGGATGGAAGGGGCAGAAGCGAGCGGTGTGAAGGGCAGAGACAAGAGTAGGGTGAGGGGCGCAAGTGAGGCCCACGTCAGGGGCACCAGTGAGGAGTGCGCTTATTCGCTAGAGAACCCATGGCATGACAGCGCATCTGCTTCACCGCGTCTCAGTGTCTCTGAATCTGGTCAAGACCATGACCGCACTTTGTTTGAGGCTCTCATGGCGAGAATGCCAGCGTCGATGTTGAGTTCTCAAGCGGCTGTGCGGCAGGAAGACGTCTTGCAAGAGTGGACGGGCATAAGAGACAGATGTCACTGATACCCCGAGGCGATGTTGCGGGCTCCGGAGCCAAGCGGTCTGGGTCGTTCTTGGCCTCCAGCGGCTCCCTTGAGCCATAGCCAGAGCTTCCAGCCGTCCCTCCTGTCCACGGTTGCAAATCCCAGCTTCCAAGACTTGCAAATTCCGCCCTTGCTCGGGCCCTCTCTGAGTGGAGCCGTTCCTGCAGCTCAGGCTTTCGTCTCAGGGCGAGCCGACCCCGACCCAGCCCCCATCAGCCCAACCGACCTAGCCACACACCGGAAGCAGGCTCCGGCAGAATTCGCGGTCCAGAAAGGCATCAATCAGGAGTTGCTCGCCGCCTCTGCCACCGAAGACGAGGGTTGTGCTTTGCAGGCCAGGTGTGCTGAGTGCGTGCAGTGGTGCGGACCGAGCCAAGATTCAATGTAGCACTGGAAACAAGGCCCTCTGAGCGTTTGTCTGTGCACGCTTTGCTCCGGTTTTCAGCCCGCTGGAAAAATTGAATTGACGCTCGTGCTGGCTTTGGGGCTGACCGCTGAAGAAATGGATAGCAGGGCGGCAGGGAGCATGGCAGCTAATGCTAGCATTCAACAACGCCTTAGTGAGAATCTGTACGAAACTACTGCGGCCGGAGTGTCTGGACCGCATGTTGACCTTTCCGCCCGAGCCTTGTGACCATTTCGCGGTGTTTGTGCTGGGCAAGTTCAATTTACGGTGTTCCCTTTCAACTTATGCTGCTGAACTTGTCGTCTCTCTTGTGTCAATGTGGCTCGGGACGAGCGGGCAGACAAGGGGTGCGAAATGATGGAACGGACCTTGCTGGTTCGGACGTGTCTCTTGGTTTATGCTCCTGGCCGTGCTGATTCAATGAATCATGGCGACGATCACCAAGGTGTGCAGACAACGACATCCTCGCAAATAGGTGTTCAGCCGTATTTGCCAAATAGTCAGGCTGCGTTGCGTGTCATCTGCGTCCTTAGCACACCGCCCAAAATGGGAATTCACCTCGGACTGCCCCCTTCCCTGTCCCAGGTTTCCTGGCCCTGTGACGTCTCCCTGTCGGCGTCATTCGGATGTCAGAGGAAACTTTCAGGGTGCATGACATCGAAGGTGTTTTTAACACATTGCTTGTATGCATGAACATATGCATGTATGCATGCTTGTATGCATGCACGTATGCATGCATGCAGGCGCAGGCGGGTGATGGCGGGTCGGTGGGTGAGTAGGTCGGCAGGTAGGCAGGCCGGCAATAAGGTCTGCATGTATGTATGCCGCAGTACGTGTTTCGGAGCTTCAGGCGCTATGTGTGTTTCTGAATGTGCAAGTGAGGGAACTCATGAGTGTCTTGAGCTTAACACCAACCCTACGATCCATGAAGCTGATGTTTTTTGCGACGACCTCAAGCTTCTGAAACCAAGCGGATGAATAGGCCAGCAATGTGACCCCAGAAGTCTGCTACCGCTACAATACTCGAAATTCAAAGAGTATAGTATAGTAGGTTTGTTCTGCATCGCCGAAAGCTCCTTACAAGGTTTTCTGAAGGCGTCGTACTTTCACAACCTGAGAAATTGGAGCCTGCTTGCTCCAATTCTCACTTCCTTTATAATATGTTTTCTGGGCGGTGCTTTGCTCCCACAGCATGTCGGGCTTCTCGATTTGTGCTCGGCGACCATCAGCAAGTTGGAAAGGCAAGGAAATGCCATTCGCACGGGTCACTTGTTTTCTTGTTTCTTTGGTGTTTGCGAGGTAATTTTCATCTTCCACACTTCGCTAGCAGCGCTAGTAGAGCCACTTCTGGTTCCGATCAAGCTTGCAATGCGCTCCAGAAGTTCTGGGTATGTCCATCGCATGGTGTGTTCTGCAATCAAAGCACGGAATGCTCGTCCCATCCCCACGTTGTGTTGTTGGTGTCCAGCCGAAAAGGTTGTTGCGACCTCTGCAAGCGAACGCCGAACCCTCACACAGTGAAGAACGACAATCATCGGCATGTTCTTGTGGTCAAAAACTGAATGACAGTAAGAGGGCGGGCCCCTGACCAAATTGCAGGTCTGATTCCTTCGGTCTTCTTCCACAGCTGCCTGATGCAGGAAAAACCTTCTCGCGTTGGTGAATCATATTCCCCAAAAGTCTCGAAGTTGAAGATTCGCGATCCCACACAAATTCCCTGCTAACATGTTAGCCTCTTATGCCATACGCGGAGCGACAAAACCACGAAACAAAGCCCGTTTGTGAACATGTACAGAGTGAATGCTTGCAATCTCAGCATCGTTGTTGGCAAACTCTGACATGGATCGGCAGTGCGATCACGCAACTATCAAGCACATCGCATCCAAACCTGACCATGTGCAATGGACTAGTTCACGAGCCTGAAGATGAACGGACCTGGCTCCAAGTGTCACAGCAACAGTGTGTTTCGCTGCTTACACGGGCCCCACATGCAACATGAGACGTTGTAATCTCCCGTGGGGTCACATGGGTGGCGTGTCATCCATCAAGGTCTCTGCCCGCCCTGCGCTCGTCAACCGTGCATGCTGGCCCCACAATGCCCACCTCAGTTAACCCAGCTGTCAAGAGCATGCAAATGGTAACAGGTAGCGCTGTGTCTGATAGAGTTTGAACTAGTGGGCTGCAGCTTGGGCTTGAGAGTTGGCTTTTTGCGCCTCGGACTCACCTGGGGTACTCGGGCTTCGGGCTCGAGGAGTAGATGGCCCTGTTTCACTGTTTCACGGGAGGTACAAACCATCCGAAGCCCCCGCTTCGTATATGTGCGTGTTCGGAGCTCTGTTTGCAAGCTCCTTGGCGCCCCTGTCCCGCTGAGCTCGATTCGTTTCCTGGTGAAGGACAACACGTTTAGACATGTGATGTTGATGCTAGCGCAGTCCTGTCTGAGCAGCTGCATTGCACTGTTAAGGCTACCTATCCGAGATTTGTGAACGCAGATTCGAGAGCATTCGTTTCTTCTCGCGCAGCCGATGTTGTGTGTTGCCTGCAGGTGTAAGGGCTTTTGAAGCTGGAGCCAGTTTTGGATGTTTCCGGGGCTGTCGATGCAAGACCTGCGAGTCAGCAGTTGCAGATTCCATAATTACTTTCATTAAGTAGCACCGGGCCATCGGGCAGAAGCATCACAGTAAAAGCAGCCGCGCACACTCAGCATGGGAAAAGTCTAAAGACTCTGCACTAGTTTCAAACTTTCATGAATCAAACTGCACCTCCGATATTCCTAGCTCTACGACGCGTGCCCGACCTTGCAGGTCCTCGCCGTTGCCTCCAAGTATGTGGACCAGATGAACGGCGTGAACCTGTCGACGGCGATCCATCGCATCGCCCGCGCCTGTCAGCGCTTTAAGAACTCCGCCGAGCAGGTCAGAAAGGTGCAGCGGGGCTGGAAGCTTCCTCCGGGGGGGGTTACATGAGGGTCTCGCAGGGTGGGGGAATAGAGTAGTGAGCAGGCTCCGAGCTTCGTGTCCCTCGTCGTGGCGGCAGAGCGCATGGTCCTACAGGAGCTGGAGCATCGGGATTCACAGATGCCAGTGAAGTGCTGCACCATCATCGCTTGGTCCTGCGCCAGCCTCCGTGTCTTCCGGAATTCTCTTTTCAAGGCCCTTGCTCGGCTGGCAACAGTGTCCCTCGAGCAGTGCCAGTCCTACGAGATGACGAATATCATGTGGGCCTTTGGGGAGCTCTGCAAGAGCCGTCGGCAGCTGAGCAAAGATTTGAAGGAAGACCTCCGCAACCTCTTGGAGGCGACGTGCAGTGTCTTCATCGCCAGGCCCATTGGATGGAAGCTCCAGGTGCTCATGTCTGCCCTCGTTTCCTTGACCATCCTCCCTTGGCAGCCCTGCAGCCAGCGCCTCTTCACAGACATAGCCAGAGAGGTGGCCGGTCGCCAGCAGGAGCTTGCCAATGAGAAGACCAAACCATTGGCCATGGCCTTCCATGAGCTCCGCACCAAGAAGCCCCAGGCGACCGAGAAAGCTTAGAAAGAGAAACGCCTCTTGCCTGTCATAGCCCTTCAAACGTGCCCGAAGCCGCAGGCCTTCAAGGAGATCATGATGGCCTTGCAGGACTTCCCCGACTTCGTCGCACATCCCTCGCTGCGGGGCAACCGCTCCTGAAGCCAAAGGTCTGTCGGGAAATGGTGCTGATTCTACCGAACGAACGGGTGCGAAATATTCTCCGGTTAAACAGAGCTACCGCCACGGCACACCTTGCTCGTCTGAGGAAGTTTCTCTAGTGTACAAGTCGGACAACCGAAGGCAAGTTTAGCTGAACCCTCACCAGTGTGAAGCGTGCGTCTTATCGAATGTGTGTGCCGGCGGCTAGTATGCATCTAATCATTTGCAGCGGACGTCCCATGTTGCACGGCTTCTGAGCAAGACGTGTGGGGGGTCCTGCCGCTGCCTTGGCCAAGCCATGCGCCGCGAGAGAGCCGACAGCTTCCGGATTTCGGTTCAGCTTTGAGCTGTTTGCTGCCAGCTTCTACGGTTGAAGTGCAGGACGTGCTGTCTTTGGAGCCTACATGGTGAGGCTCCGAAGACGTAACGGCCGAAGCCGGGATCCTGCGGCTAGTCTACGCAGCGCGTGCTTGAACACTTGCAGCCTTCATCTTTCCTTGAGGGTTCGTGGAAGTTCGATTTTGAGCGAGCTGTGAACTCAGGGTGCGCAGATGTGATCGTAGGATACTCGGAGATGCGACTTGCCGTGTTGCACTGTCACCACCCCTCAAAGAAATGCAGGAGCTGCTGAGGGCCAACCTCTCTCGGACTTGTTGTCCAGTGATGTCCAGTGTTTATTTTGGACAGACGTGCTGCGTCGAAAGATGCGCGTACATCTGCCAAGTTGCTCAGGATATGCTGTATCTCGCTACACCTTGACGTGATCGAGTGCAGGTCCTGGATTTCTGAAGCTTCAGGGCTTCATTTATTCCAGCCCACTGAAAACATGTCAGAAGCATGCTCTCGGTGGTCAGAAGGGAGTCGAGCCGGTTTGCACTTGCCGCTCCCGACTTTAGGAAACTCTCTGAGCCGGGCAGTAGTCCACGAGAGGCGCTGCCGAAAAGAATTGCCCTGAGAAGTTGGAGCGTCTACGACTTGAGAACTTGCCAGTGGGTCAGGTCATGGTTCTGAAACTTCTTCAATCCGTAGCCCTTTGTTTGGATCACTCTTGGCATCCTACATCCATCCGCCATCTGTACGATGAACACGGCGGCCTTCGATGTCGAGAGTCTCAGCCCAGGCTACCCTCCTGACAGCCCGCCAGTGCCGCGATTCTTCAAGTCCAAGGAGTCGAAGGTCGTGAAGGCGGTGAAGAGAGAGGAGACCCTCGAGTCCGTCAGCCAGGGCAGCACAGCCGCGAGTCGAGGATTCTTCGCCAACTATTCCGACGATGAGAATTCAGAGCCGGATTTGAGCTCGAACGCCTTGAGCTTGCGTGGACCCCCAGGACTTTGTCAGCAAGCATCTTGGCGGCACTAAGCCCTCAGGTCTTTGTCGTCGCTTGGCTGCGGAGGGCTTGTTGAACCGAGGCGCCACCAGTTACGGCTGCACCGTCGTTGGAGTCATCGGCAAGCCATGCAAGCCCAACCAGTCCGAACTCGGGACGTGAGATTTTCCGGCGTCTCCAAGAGCTGGAGACTTTGAAGGCGGCGCTGTCGCAGTTGGAGGCGGAGGAGAGGATTGCGATTGCTCAAGCCAACGCACGGCCAGACCCGGCGTGGGATCCCAGCGTTTGGAAGTGATCCCAAGACAGCGCATCTGCTTCACCGCGTCTCAGTGTCTCTGAATCTGGTCAAGACCATGATTGCACTTTCTTTGAGGCTCTCATGGCGAGAATGCCAGCTTCGATGTTGAGTTCTCAAGCGGCTGTGCGGCAGGAAGACCTCTTGCAAGAGTGGAAGCGCATAAGAGACAGATGCCACTGATACCCCGAGGCGATGTTGCGGGCTCCGGAGATAAGCGGTCTGGGTCGTTCTTGGCCTCCAGCGGCTCCCTTGAGCCATAGCCAGAGCTTCCAGCCGTCCCTCCTGTCCACGGTTGCAAATCCCAGCTTCCAAGACTTGCAAATTCCGCCCTTGCTCGGGCCCTCTCTGAGTGGAGCCGTTCCTGCAGCTCAGGCTTTCGTCTCAGGGCGAGCCGACCCCGACCCAGCCCCCATCAGCTCAACCGGCCCAGCCACACACCGGAAGCAGGCTCCGGCAGAATTCGCGGTCCAGAAAGGCATCAATCAGGAGTTGCTCGCCGCCTCTGCCACCGAAGACGAGGGTTGTGCTTTGCAGGCCAGGTGTGCTGAGTGCGTGCGGTCGTTTGAGCCATGCCTTAAGCACTTCGTGATGTGGGCCGAGCCACCTTTCGATGTAGGTCCTCGCCGTTGCCTCCAAGTATGTGGACCAGATGAACGGCGTGAACCTGTCGACGGCGATCCATCGCATCGCCCGCGCCTGTCAGCGCTTTAAGAACTCCGCCGAGCAGGTCAGAAAGGTGCAGCGGGGCTGGAAGCTTCCTCCGGGGGGGGTTACATGAGGGTCTCGCAGGGTGGGGGAATAGAGTAGTGAGCAGGCTCCGAGCTTCGTGTCCCTCGTCGTGGCGGCAGAGCGCATGGTCCTACAGGAGCTGGAGCATCGGGATTCACAGATGCCAGTGAAGTGCTGCACCATCATCGCTTGGTCCTGCGCCAGCCTCCGTGTCTTCCGGAATTCTCTTTTCAAGGCCCTTGCTCGGCTGGCAACAGTGTCCCTCGAGCAGTGCCAGTCCTACGAGATGACGAATATCATGTGGGCCTTTGGGGAGCTCTGCAAGAGCCGTCGGCAGCTGAGCAAAGATTTGAAGGAAGACCTCCGCAACCTCTTGGAGGCGACGTGCAGTGTCTTCATCGCCAGGCCCATTGGATGGAAGCTCCAGGTGCTCATGTCTGCCCTCGTTTCCTTGACCATCCTCCCTTGGCAGCCCTGCAGCCAGCGCCTCTTCACAGACATAGCCAGAGAGGTGGCCGGTCGCCAGCAGGAGCTTGCCAATGAGAAGACCAAACCATTGGCCATGGCCTTCCATGAGCTCCGCACCAAGAAGCCCCAGGCGACCGAGAAAGCTTAGAAAGAGAAACGCCTCTTGCCTGTCATAGCCCTTCAAACGTGCCCGAAGCCGCAGGCCTTCAAGGAGATCATGATGGCCTTGCAGGACTTCCCCGACTTCGTCGCACACCCCTCGCTGCGGGGCAACCGCTCCTGAAGCCAAAGATCTGTCGGGAAATGGTGCTGATTCTACCGAACGAACGGGTGCGAAATATTCTCCGGTTAAACAGAGCTACCGCCACGGCACACCTTTCTCTGTCGTCTGAGGAAGTTTCTCTAGTGTACAAGTCGGACAACCGAAGGCAAGTTTAGCTGAACCCTCACCAGTGTGAAGCGTGCGTCTTATCGAATGTGTGTGCTGGCGGCTAGTATGCATTTAATCATTTGCAGCGGACGTCCCATGTTGCACGGCTTCTGAGCAAGACGTGTGGGGGGTCCTGCCGCTGCCTTGGCCAAGCCATGCGCCGCGAGAGAGCCGACAGCTTCCGGATTTCGGTTCAGCTTTGAGCTGTTTGCTGCCAGCTTCTACGGTTGAAGTGCAGGACGTGCTGTCTTTGGAGCCTACATGGTGAGGCTCCGAAGACGTAACGGCCGAAGCCGGGATCCTGCGGCTAGTCTACGCAGCGCGTGCTTGAACACTTGCAGCCTTCATCTTTCCTTGAGGGTTCGTGGAAGTTCGATTTTGAGCGAGCTGTGAACTCAGGGTGCGCAGATGTGATCGTAGGATACTCGGAGATGCGACTTGCCGTGTTGCACTGTCACCACCCCTCAAAGAAATGCAGGAGCTGCTGAGGGCCAACCTCTCTCGGACTTGTTGTCCAGTGATGTCCAGTGTTTATTTTGGACAGACGTGCTGCGTCGAAAGATGCGCGTACATCTGCCAAGTTGCTCAGGATATGCTGTATCTCGCTACACCTTGACGTGATCGAGTGCAGGTCCTGGATTTCTGAAGCTTCAGGGCTTCATTTATTCCAGCCCACTGAAAACATGTCAGAAGCATGCTCTCGGTGGTCAGAAGGGAGTCGAGCCGGTTTGCACTTGCCGCTCCCGACTTTAGGAAACTCTCTGAGCCGGGCAGTAGTCCACGAGAGGCGCTGCCGAAAAGAATTGCCCTGAGAAGTTGGAGCGTCTACGACTTGAGAACTTGCCAGTGGGTCAGGTCATGGTTCTGAAACTTCTTCAATCCGTAGCCCTTTGTTTGGATCACTCTTGGCATCCTACATCCATCCGCCATCTGTACGATGAACACGGCGGCCTTCGATGTCGAGAGTCTCAGCCCAGGCTACCCTCCTGACAGCCCGCCAGTGCCGCGATTCTTCAAGTCCAAGGAGTCGAAGGTCGTGAAGGCGGTGAAGAGAGAGGAGACCCTCGAGTCCGTCAGCCAGGGCAGCACAGCCGCGAGTCGAGGATTCTTCGCCAACTATTCCGACGATGAGAATTCAGAGCCGGATTTGAGCTCGAACGCCTTGAGCTTGCGTGGACCCCCAGGACTTTGTCAGCAAGCATCTTGGCGGCACTAAGCCCTCAGGTCTTTGTCGTCGCTTGGCTGCGGAGGGCTTGTTGAACCGAGGCGCCACCAGTTACGGCTGCACCGTCGTTGGAGTCATCGGCAAGCCATGCAAGCCCAACCAGTCCGAACTCGGGACGTGAGATTTTCCGGCGTCTCCAAGAGCTGGAGACTTTGAAGGCGGCGCTGTCGCAGTTGGAGGCGGAGGAGAGGATTGCGATTGCTCAAGCCAACGCACGGCCAGACCCGGCGTGGGATCCCAGCGTTTGGAAGTGATCCCAAGACAGCGCATCTGCTTCACCGCGTCTCAGTGTCTCTGAATCTGGTCAAGACCATGATTGCACTTTCTTTGAGGCTCTCATGGCGAGAATGCCAGCTTCGATGTTGAGTTCTCAAGCGGCTGTGCGGCAGGAAGACCTCTTGCAAGAGTGGAAGCGCATAAGAGACAGATGCCACTGATACCCCGAGGCGATGTTGCGGGCTCCGGAGATAAGCGGTCTGGGTCGTTCTTGGCCTCCAGCGGCTCCCTTGAGCCATAGCCAGAGCTTCCAGCCGTCCCTCCTGTCCACGGTTGCAAATCCCAGCTTCCAAGACTTGCAAATTCCGCCCTTGCTCGGGCCCTCTCTGAGTGGAGCCGTTCCTGCAGCTCAGGCTTTCGTCTCAGGGCGAGCCGACCCCGACCCAGCCCCCATCAGCCCAACCGGCCTAGCCACACACCGGAAGCAGGCTCCGGCAGAATTCGCGGTCCAGAAAGGCATCAATCAGGAGTTGCTCGCCGCCTCTGCCACCGAGGACGAGGGTTGTGCTTTGCAGGCCAGGTGTGCTGAGTGCGTGCGGTCGTTTGAGCCATGCCTTAAGCACTTCGTGATGTGGGCCGAGCCACCTTTCGATGTAGGTCCTCGCCGTTGCCTCCAAGTATGTGGACCAGATGAACGGCGTGAACCTGTCGACGGCGATCCATCGCATCGCCCGCGCCTGTCAGCGCTTTAAGAACTCCGCCGAGCAGGTCAGAAAGGTGCAGCGGGGCTGGAAGCTTCCTCCGGGGGGGGTTACATGAGGGTCTCGCAGGGTGGGGGAATAGAGTAGTGAGCAGGCTCCGAGCTTCGTGTCCCTCGTCGTGGCGGCAGAGCGCATGGTCCTACAGGAGCTGGAGCATCGGGATTCACAGATGCCAGTGAAGTGCTGCACCATCATCGCTTGGTCCTGCGCCAGCCTCCGTGTCTTCCGGAATTCTCTTTTCAAGGCCCTTGCTCGGCTGGCAACAGTGTCCCTCGAGCAGTGCCAGTCCTACGAGATGACGAATATCATGTGGGCCTTTGGGGAGCTCTGCAAGAGCCGTCGGCAGCTGAGCAAAGATTTGAAGGAAGACCTCCGCAACCTCTTGGAGGCGACGTGCAGTGTCTTCATCGCCAGGCCCATTGGATGGAAGCTCCAGGTGCTCATGTCTGCCCTCGTTTCCTTGACCATCCTCCCTTGGCAGCCCTGCAGCCAGCGCCTCTTCACAGACATAGCCAGAGAGGTGGCCGGTCGCCAGCAGGAGCTTGCCAATGAGAAGACCAAACCATTGGCCATGGCCTTCCATGAGCTCCGCACCAAGAAGCCCCAGGCGACCGAGAAAGCTTAGAAAGAGAAACGCCTCTTGCCTGTCATAGCCCTTCAAACGTGCCCGAAGCCGCAGGCCTTCAAGGAGATCATGATGGCCTTGCAGGACTTCCCCGACTTCGTCGCACACCCCTCGCTGCGGGGCAACCGCACGTGAAACCGGTTAGGGATGTGCTTCATTCATCTTTACTACAGGCAACAGGTTTTCTGCTTGCTGGCACAACGGGCAAGCCATCACAAGGCTCTTGCTCTGGTGCAGCAAGCATGCCCACTCCACAACGGCCCGAGCCAACTGCTGCTGTGCAATATAGCTTACCTGTACCTGCATAGAGTCTCAAGCCCCGTGAATCTGACAGCTTGCGGGCAACAGTGCCGCGTAATCTTTTGAGGTATTGTTGCTCTTGCACCTGCAATGTTCGCTGGCAGTAGGCTCTGTGCCACAACCGTGTTTGCTGATCTGGTCATGCGGCTTCAAGCAAAGAAATGCACAGCATATGCACGTGCTTGCGCGTGCCGATATTTAATGAGGCAGGGGCGCTTTGCAATCCAAGAAGCAAGAAGCCGATGTTTCCGCAAAGGAAGGTTCAGCAGATTTTAAGGTGTTTAGTATTCACAGTAATGTGGGTGTCGGTTTAATAGTGGGGTACCCCCCCCCCCCCCGACCAAAAACAAAAAGTCTATTTAATATGGAACCGGTAGCCCCTGGCAGGGAATTGGGAGGTGCCGGGGTTTGGCGGCTGGCTTGGGTGCAGGGTCTGCGGTTCTGCGCGACTGCGCGGTCGGGGGTCGGGGGGGTCTGGGCCAGCGCCTGAAACCCTAAACCCTGAACCCTAAACCCTAACGAATCCTAAACTCCTAGACCCTATAACAAACCCTAAAACCCTAAGCCCTAAACCCTTCCAAAGGGGGGTCGGTCCAGATTCGACCCAAAACTTAATTTTTTATACAAACTTTAGTACTGGAGAGGCCTCTTTTGAGCTAGGGTCCAATCCCCGATTCGGCGGTTCACCCTAGCAGCCCCCCCCAATAATCAAGGTATAGTAGAATAGTAGTACAGTAGTAGTACAGTAGTAGTATAATAATAGTGCAGTAGTACAATAGTAATACAACAGTAGTACAGTGGTAGTACAATAGTAGTACATTAGTAGTACAATAATAGTACAGTAGTACAATAGTAGCACAATAGTAGTACAGTAGTAGTACAGTAGTAGTACGATCATAGTACCGTAGTACAATAATAGTACAGTAGTAGTACAGAAGTAGTACAATAATAGTGCAGTAGTACAATAGTAATACAACAGTAGTACAGGGGTAGTACAATAGTAGTACAGTAGTAGTACGATAACAGTACAGTAGTACAATAGTAGTACAGTAATCGTACAGTAGTAGTACAATAGTAGTACAGTAGTACACTAGTAGTACAGTAGTAGTACCACAGTAGTACAGTAGTAATACAGTAATAGTACAGAAATAGTACCAATAAGCAAAGCATAAAGCCAGTGAGTACATTCCCCCAATAAGCAAAGCATAAAGCCAGCGCCTGAAACCTTAAACCCCGAACCCTAAACCCTAAAGAATCCTACACTCCTAAACCCTATAACAAACCCTGAACCCTAAGCCCTAAACCCTTCCAAAGGGGGGTCGGTCCAGATTCGACCCAAAACTTAATTTTTATACAAACTTTAGTACTGGAGAGGCCTCTTTTGAGCTAGGGTCCAATCCCCGATTCGGCGGTTCACCCTAGCAGCCCCCCCCCAATAATCAAGGTATAGTAGAATAGTAGTACAGTAGTAGTACAGTGCAGTAGTACAGTAGTACAATAGTAATACAACAGTAGTACAATAGTAGTACAGTAGTAGTACAGTAGTAGTACAATAGTAGTACAATAGTAAATAGTAGTACAGTAGTAGTACAGTAGTAGTACGATTATAGTACCGTAGTACAATAATAGTACAGTAGTAGTACAGTAGTAGTACAATAATAGTGCAGTAGTACAATAGTAATACAACAATAGTACAGTGGTAGTACAATAGTAGTACAGTAGTAGTACGATAACAATACAGTAGTACAATAGTAGTACAGTAATCGTACAGTAGTAGTACAATAGTAGTACACTAGTAGTACAGTAGTAGTACCACAGCAGTACAGTAGTACAGTAGTAATACAGTAATAGTACAGAAATAGTACCAATAAGCAAGCATAAGCATAAAGCCAGCGCCTGAAACCCTAAACCCCGAACCCTAAACCCTAAAGAATCCTACACTCCTAAACCCTATAACAAACCCTGAACCCTAAGCCTTAAACCCTTCCAAACCCAGATTCGACCCAAAACTTAATTTTTTATACAAACTTTAGTACTGGAGAGGCCTCTTTTGAGCTAGGGTCCAATCCCCGATTCGGCGGTTCACCCTAGCAGCCCCCCCCAATAATCAAGGTATAGTAGAATAGTAGTACAGTAGTAGTACAGTAGTAGTATAATAATAGTGCAGTAGTACAATAGTAATACAACAGTAGTACAGTGGTAGTACAATAGTAGTACAGTAGTAGTACAATAATAGTACAGTAGTACAATAGTAGCACAATAGTAGTACAGTAGTAGTACAGTAGTAGTACGATTATAGTACCGTAGTACAATAATAGTACAGTAGTAGTACAGTAGTAGTACAATAATAGTGCAGTAGTACAATAGTAATACAACAATAGTACAGTGGTAGTACAATAGTAGTACAGTAGTAGTACGATAACAGTACAGTAGTACAGTAGTACAATAGTAGTAGTAGTACACTAGTAGTACAGTAGTAGTACCACAGCAGTACAGTAGTACAGTAGTAATACAGTAATAGTACAGAAATAGTACCAATAAGCAAAGCATAAAGCCAGTGAGTACATTCCCCCCAATAAGCAAAGCATAAAGCCAGCGCCTGAAAAACCCTAAAAACCCCGAACCCTAAACCCTAAAGAATCCTACACTCCTAAACCCTATAACAAACCCTGAACCCTAAGCCCTAAACCCTTCCAAAGGGGGGTCGGTCCAGATTCGACCCAAAACTTAATTTTTTATACAAACTTTAGTACTGGAGAGGCCTCTTTTGAGCTAGGGTCCAATCCCCGATTCGGCGGTTCACCCTAGCAGCCCCCCCCAATAATCAAGGTATAGTAGAATAGTAGTACAGTAGTAGTACAGTAGTAGTATAATAATAGTGCAGTGGTACAATAGTAATACAACAGTAGTACGGTGGTAGTACAATAGTAGTACAGCAGTAGTACAATAATAGTACAGTAGTACAATAGTAGCACAATAGTAGTACAGTAGTAGTACAGTAGTAGTACGATTATAGTACCGTAGTACAACCAGCAGAACAGGGGTGTGCTGGACGGGGTTTTTCCCCTTTTGATCTTGATCTCCGCCTATGGTTTGTTGATCAGGGGCATCCTTTCCAATGGCTGCCGCACATGATTTGGATGCTCCGGCGTCCATGCCAAGCTCCAGAGTTACGGCAGGACATCATGTCGTGGCCCTCCGAGGAGACCGATCTTAATATGCCACCCGAGAAAGTCATTGCACCCTTCCTCCGCTCTGCGCATACTATCGCCCCTAAGGTTGCGCAAGATGCCGCCTCGCATGGACTTTCTTGTCTCTTTGTCACCTTCAATGCCCTATCCATTGTCGGTGAGGATGCCCTAGACAGTGGAGGGGCCGCAGGTGTGCACGGCAGCACAGGGCGGGTTTCGCTTCTGGATGCGTCGCTTTGTGCTAAGGGCACCTTCATTGCGGGTATTCAGGAAGCACGCACTCCGTCAGGTGAGTACCGGACTGCACATTTGAGACGATACTCCTCGGGGAGCTTAGATGGCAAACTTTTTGGCACGGAAATTTGGGTTGCATCAGGTTCCGGTTGGCCAACGCACAGTGCGGCGGTTCTCTTTGCCGCACCCACCTATCTCGCCATTCGTATCGACTTTGGTAGTTTTCGGCTTAGCGTGCTAGCTGGCCATGGGCCGCACCGGGGACATTCAGTTGATCACAGGACGCGGTGGTGGAGTGAGGTGACCAGCCTCTGTGCAGCGCATTCATCCTCGGCCCCTTGGGTCTTCCTTGTTGATGTCAACGGGCGAGTTGGCTCCATCACGGACTCAGCTATTGGGGCCCATGAAGCCGACGAGGAAGATCAGGCAGGTTGTGCCTTCCGACTCCTGATAGGGAAGCATCAGGCTTGGTGCCCGTCTACCTTTGAGTCCTTCGCAGTTGGACCAGGTGGCACACTGTTCCAAAAACGGAGCCGCACACTCGACCGAAGCGACTTTGTTGCCATCCCACAGGAATGGGGAGATGCTACATCATGCGCTGAGGTTTGCCCAGAGATCAATGCCGGCCACGCCGCGCCGGACCATTTCGCGGCGTGTGTGCAAGTGTCTCTCGCCTTCGCTATGCCCGGCTCTTCGGCCCCCCGTCAGATCGATCCCCAGGCTCTGGTAGACCCGGACAATGCTGGTGTCATCAGTGAAATCCTCGAGGACACTCCCGCGGTGTCCTGGCAAACAAATGTCAACGAGCATGCTTCCATACTTGTTGATCATGTCTACACCAAACTCGTAGCTGCCTTTCCCCTGAGAGGTCGCAAAATGCGGCAGAGTTTCCTCACGCAGGGAACGATCCAACTTCATGAGGAACTCGCATTCCTGCGCCAGGCCCTGCGCAGATGCGCACACAATCTCTCTAATACCCGTTTACGGTGCGCTTGGGCGGCTTGGCGCTCTGCCACCCCGTGGGGCCAGATCTTCGCTGGACGCTGGCTCCGCGACTTACGGGTTGCTATAGCCGGGTTGTCCTATCGTATCTCGGTTATAGGAAAAGCCGTCCGTAAGAGCTGTCGACGGGATCGCAATGCATACCTTGCCGGACTTGCAGACCAGGCGGACCAGGCGGGCCCGGCCCAAGTGCATTTGGCTATCAACCGGCTCTTGCGTCCCCGCCGCTTTCGTCGGCAGGGCCCCACCCCACTGCCTAGGCTATACGATGCTAAGGGCCAGCTATGCCAGACGCCACAGGATGTTAGGGATACGTGGAGAACTCATTTTGCAAAGCTTGAGGGTGGCGCTGCCTGCTCGGCAGAGGCACTTGTCAGTGAGTGCGTGCAGCGACAGCGACGATGGGGTGTGCAGGAAATGCTCCACTCCTCCCAATTACCGGCATTCGATGACCTTGTTGCTGCATTACGCAGAGCACAGCCCTTCAAGGCATGCGGGCCAGACCTTATCCCTCCTGCACTTTGTCATGCCCACCCTGTTGGTGTTGCGGCCGTAATGTGGCCGCTGCTTCTCAAAGTGGCCACACAGGGCTCAGAGCCCGTCGGCTTCAAAGGCGGCCGGCTCTTTCACATTCCGAAACCGAACGCTACGGAGAAGTCCTCCACAAGTGCCCATCGGGGCATTTTAGTGCAACCCGTGTTCGGGAAGGCGCTTCACCGCGCTTTTCGCTCTATGCCCGTTGCCTTCATGGAGCAGCATGCCCCTCAGACCCAGCTAGGCAGTCGTCAGGGCAAATCACACACTTTCGGTTTCTTTCTGAGCCGCAGTTTCCTGGCATACGCAAGGGTATATAACATGTCCGCTGCCCTTATCTTCCTCGACTTACAGGCAGCCTACTATGCCGTGATTAGAGAGCTGATCTTGGGCACTGATCTGTCTGACGAGAGTTTGAGGGATGTGGCTGCCTCTCTCAATCTCCAAGAAGGTGACCTTGCTTCCATTGAGGAGTTAGCTGCGGCGGATCCCGTCCTGACCCCACACAACTCGGCTACATTACTGCGAGCCCTTGCTCGGGAACTGCACACAGACACGTGGTTCCACGTCCACGATGACCAGGTCCTTGTTAGGACTAAGAGGGGTACTAGACCGGGGGGATCATTAGCGGACATCACTTTTGCTCTCCTCTTCGCCCGCGTGCTCGACCGCCGGGAGCATTATCCCCAACATACGATCCCCCGGATTCCCTGGTCGGGTTGCCGTGAAATCAGGGTCTTCCAGCCGAAGCAAGACGGCATTGATCCTAGCGTCGAGCTAAAGGACATAGTTTTCGCCGACGATCATGCAGCATGCGTGATCTCCCCTACTGCTGCGGGTTTAGCTCAGGACGTGCGGACGGTCACCGGGGTCACCTTCGACTCGGTTTCGGCCCATGGGCTTACCCCGAACATAGGCCCTAAGAAGTCCGCCGCGATTCTGGTTCCTCGAGGCAAGGGGTCCAAGGCTGCTCGGGACTGCATCTTTGGGAAGGGCAAAGGCAAGCTCACTGTCCTGCGAGAAAATGATAAGCCGATCATGCTCGATGCCGTCCCTTTCTACCGGCACCTCGGATCGACCATCGCCCATAGCGGGTCCCTGGTCAGCGAGGTTCGCCACCGGCTCGCACTGGCACGAGCCACTTTCGGGGAAGGACGGCGCAAAGTTTTTGTATGTCCACAGATCGCTCTGTCGCGCCGGGTCCAGCTTTTTAGGTCTCATGTGCTTTCGGCCCTCATGGCCGGCTCCGGAGCATGGCCCATGCTTCAGCAAGAGGCTTGGCACCTCTTTCAACAGGGGCTTACCGCTCTCTTTCGTCAGCTGCTTCGCATCCCGCATGATGAGTGTCAGCATTGGACTCGGGATCAGGTATATGATGCCTGCCAGGTCCCTTCCCCACAGGAGCTGTTACATGCGGAAAGGCTACGTTTTCTCGGTCAAATGCTGAAGCACGCCCCGGACGCGGCCTGGGCCCTGCTTCAGCATCATGTTGCTGCCATTGAGGGCTTTACTGCTGCGTGTCTCTGGCTCCAGCAGGCGGTTTCCGCTACTAGTGCTTTGGGGGATTTCTATTCCGACTGGGGTAGCTGGTCAGAGCTCATTCGAGGAAGTAATCGCCTGTGGAAGGGCCTGATCCGTCGGGCGCTCGCCTGGCACGCACTCCGACGATCGGCACGCGTGCGTTTCCTACAGTTTGCACAGCGATGCTGGCAGCGCAAGTCTGTGGACACCGTGGCGTATGCTTTCGAGGGGCACGCATGCCTTCTTTGTCAGCGGGTTTTTCCTAACGCACACACCTGGTCTTCGCATGCGTCCCTTCAGCATGGTTACCGAACCAAGGCCCGGAGGCTTGCACGAGGCCGCCAGTGCCAGGCGTGCGGCACCCTTTTTGCCGATACTAGCCGCCTCGGTCACCACCTTGGCTCTTCTACCCGATGCAGGCAGTCCATTGAGCGTCAGGATCCCGATCTTCTGCCAGTGTGTCTCTCTGCCTCAGGGCATGCTCAAAGCCGTGCCACTGCGGGTCGCGGAGTCGCTCACCTGCCGGATGAGCGGGTTGAGATCGCTCCCGAGCTCCTTCGGGCTCTGCAGGAATCTTCTTTTGAGGAGGATACTCACATAATGGATAAAATCCGTGAGTTCGTTGAACCCTTCGAGCTTCTTCGCAATACCCTCGGTGCTTGGACTGAGAGCTTGCCTGCTGCCAGTTTGCGGAGCATGGCGGAGGACGTCCTTCTCTGTTTCCAGGTCGATCTCCTGTGTGAAGAAGTGCACCACAAGGCCAACGTAGAGTTCAGTTCAGATATCTTTGTTCCGGATGTCCTGCCGCTTTTACGTACTCCGCGACCCGCAGGGCTGCCGGGGCTCGTGATCGGCAGTCATCACCCGGGCGATGTTGACTTGCTTGACACATGGCCGGGAGGGGGTTGGATTTTCCTTCCTCTCGGTTTGGTATATCCGTCTGGACTTGAATGGGCTTGCGTCCTTCTCACTCTGCCACCGCCACCATGTGCCTGCTCCTCCCTCTGGGACGCTACGTCTTGCCCCCTTCGCCAACAGCGTAAACACGCTGAATGGCTCCGGATCTCGCTTTACTGGTTGGATTTGGTCTTCTCCTGCGCACAGAAGGGGAGGCGATGCCATATCCGATTTCACAGTAGGGCTGAGACTGAAGGAACTTTTAGGGAGTGGCTTGATGCGGCCTGCACAGCAGAGTTTGGCGCGGCACTCAGTTTTTGTTTCACCGTTTTATAGTTGAATTCATTGCCGTAGGCGCGTTCGTATCCGGACTCATGGCCTCACGAAAGAAAAGAAAGTAGTACAGTGGTAGTACAGATTTTCATTCCTGACGCCCCAATAAGCGAAACAATTCTGCAAGAGATTTTCGGGCTTCAGGGCCAGGGTTTTAGGGTTGGGTGGGGGTTTGGGTGGGGGTTCAGGTCGTGGCTGCCTTAAGATTGACCATCAGCAAATAGCACAGCCCCGCCACCAAAAAATCACCCCAGCCAAAAAAAAACGCATTAATTAGTTCACCCCAATTTTTTTGTCAGATTCGGAATTAGCCCCGGAGCCGACGCATTAAAGGGGCCTATATTCCAAAACCGACACCCACATTAGCAATGATCTTTTAGAGTTCTGAGCGAATCAATGATGACGCTTCACAGTTCATCGCCGACGAACCTGCATCTGTTCCTGCAGCAGCAGTTTGCCAGTAGACGCCTAACACGCAAAACACCCCTGGCACCGAGATCTTCACAGCTCTGACTTTATTCGGAAGCGTTTCCATATGCATCATTTCATTTCTGCAGGGTCAGTGCAGATTCGCGGACGTTTCACAGCCAAGCAATGAGTCGCTGAGTGCATCAGTTGGCCTTCCATCCTACTGTCCGGTGGGTCATTCGTGTAAGCTGCAAGACTGGGATACGTGGAAAGAATGGATGGGATGTCAATCAGGTTACTTTCAAGTGCTCCTGGCTGCAAGTCTGCGAAGCAGAAGATGTAGCTGGGACTGATCGAGAGTGACAGTCAGCGCGTCTTTTCATGGCAGACGCATCACTTCAATTGATGTGATGGATTTAACTTGCTTCGCAATGGCCGAGCCGAGCCATGGGTACATCCTCAGTTTTCTGCTTTCTGCTCCGACCTCGAATCGATGACCTTCCTGAGGCTTGGAACTGAGAGCATGTCGAATCTTGGCAGACAAATTGAGCTGATGCAACTTGAGGTGATGCAAGAGAAAAGGCTGACTGCAAGTGCTTCGAGTTTGAATCCCAAGCAGCCCAAAGCATATGTCCAAGAGCATGACCGCCACAGGTCCACATGTTCCCCAAGCCATTTGGATGCAGTTGGACCTGCGGGGATCTTGACCACTTTACCGGCATGGTTCTACAGTTCAGGATCCTCAAGCTCCAGGATTGGGCAATCCGCCGGTATCTCAGATGAAACGAGGCTGTTGGCGGACTCTGAGAACGCCTGAGAACCCATGCCAGGCACACACACAACGAACGGCTTGGAATTTTACCCGCGAGGCATCCAGGGTTTTTCATGCATTCTGCATGCGGTGCTCTTGTCTGCGCTGCAGCTTCATGTCTCACCCGTATGCCGTATGCGGGTTCTTCCGGAAGCCACCGCATTGCCCGATGCGTGCCACGCGATGCAAGCCCTGAGCCTGTTATTCAGCCAGCTCTGCTATCGCCAATTTCAATGCCTGAGCCTAAGCGATGCTGCGTTCATCATTGTGTTGAACTGCACCGGGAAGATCGCATGTTTTCGGTTCAGACCTGCTCGTTTTCGCTGTTCAAAGTCGCCCCTATAGCGAGTGTTCGCCACTTCCCGTGGGGCGAAAGCATTGGCACGACATAGCCGCACTCAAAGCCATATTCCTCCAATTCTTTGCAGGAGCGGTTCGGGCGGTTGTGCCGCGAGCTTCACAACCTGGGCCTGGAGCTCACCCAGGACCTACCCAATCAGGTGCCTCGGGAGCAGCATGCATGCCAGTGCAGAGTCTATAGACTTAGAGTCTGTGGAGCTACGCTTTGTACCCTGATGCCTACATGCAAAGACACGCCCTCACTGGCGCCTGTTTTGAGCTGTGCGCCCCTGTGCCTTGAATGGGAAGCTTTTCCATATGTTCTCGCCGTAGGAAGCGTTTGTCTGCGGTTGCCGAGGCAAGGAGAGTTCTGAATATCCCCCAAGCCCTGAATCGTCACATGCACGATCTGTGCATTCCAAAGGCAAAGACTCGGCAAAGACAGCACCGGGATCCACGGCGTGATGCCATGGACCCCACCAAAGGATAGAAGCGGTCACAACGGTATCGAATGCAAGCGTAAACTGAGAAGTATTAACGCTGCAAGATCATCCTCCGGAGCCGACTTCAGCTGAGGTTCCAGGCTCGTGGGGCCTGGCGCAAGCTTTTCTGGAGCCAGAAGACGATGAGGTGCTCTTGGTGAATGACTTAAGAACATAGACCTGATGTGAGCTCAAGCCCTCCGATCGATGTTGAAATGCATCCAGGCCTGAGGCTTGCGCTGACTGCATTGGGGGACTCTGTTGTCCTTCTGATTTCTCAACCACAGCCCGTTGAGCTCAGCCTTGTTTCAAGGAGCTGGGTCGGGCGATGGTGCCAGGGGCTGCGCGAACCGTGGCAGGAAAACTCGCCGAGGACGGAAACAGGAAAGGGCTTGCCGACTTGAAGATGCATGACGCTCCGTCTGGCAGGGGGCTTGCAGGCTGTGCCGTGTTGAGCGAACCGTCACCGGAAGAAGTCCGGGTATGAGCTACTGGTCGTGACGCCTCTGTGGCACTCACTCCAAGCTTTCCTATCGGTTCATGACGTGCTACCAAGCTGCTACCAAGTACCTCCAGGAGTGGCAGCGTGGCCGGGCAGACGCAGCCGTGGAGCTTCGAAACTGGGACCGGACCGAGCAGGCCGGGCAATGGCGAAGACCGGAAGCACGGCTCGTTCAAGAAAAATCCCTGCTGTTGCCCTGCAAGACTGGCACTGGAAAATCGCTTTGTCGGAGAAGATTTTTTGGCTTGAGTTTGACCGAAGTAGACACGGCCGACGTCGTTTAGCTTTGCCTGAACAGGAGATTGCCGACAAAGAAGGCCGCCCATGCCTTGCTTGCAGTGCAAAAGAACAGACGGCTTCGAGACTCGCAGAGTTCTTGGTGTGTTCAGCCATTGAATGAGGTGAGCATGTTTGACCAACCTTTGTGTCTTTGTGAAGGGCCGTGAACCTGCTTGGAGCTTCAGCTTTTTTTTCAATAGTGTTGTCGATTTTCCGGGAACGTCTGATCGTCTGGCCCTGCATTGGGCACTGTTCGGAAGGCTGGCAGCCGTGTCAGGTCCAGTAGACAGCAGTCAGAGCTACCTTGCCAAAGCTCCCGCAGAGCTGCAGGAGACCGGCAACCCGTCACGGTGCTTTTGTCCGATCTCTCGCCGCAAGAGGCCCTCCATTCAGGGGACATTCATGGCCATGGCCCATGGCCAATCTATGACAGGTTGATATCAAGTCGGTACATGTTGTTGATGTCAGTGATTGTTGGCTGTGGACCACGTCCCCGAGGTTGTAACGATTGCCGGGGGGTCCAGATTTATTTGCATTATTTGTCAAAGAGCAGGTGGGCTGCTTGCTGCGGACGTGTGAAGCTGCAGGCACTGCGAGCGTCCGTTCATTCGTCGCTCAGCCATTGACCGAAGTGATTGTTGTGGACGCTCGTCCATCTTGTGTGTTCCAGGATATTACTTAACTGTGGACTCGCCCTGAGGAATCGAGGAGGTCAAAGAGAAGTGAATCAAATGTTCCTGCGAGTAATTAGACGAAGAGTAGTATAGTTAGGCTCGAGTTGCCAACCGATCCCTGGTTTGAGGGAAGCCCTTAGGGCCCACAACATCTTTGAGCAAACAAGCAGCGCCGTGATTCCTCACCTACACGCCAGCAGAATTGATATCGCAAAGTTCGTCAGATATTGCAATGTTCATCTCTGTCGAAGATTAGGGGGTCGGCCGGAAAAGGCCAAGGGAGCTCTCTGGGGACTGTCGGGGCGGCTTTGGGCCTGAGCCTGTGGGTTGGGCCGGGGCTGGGGCTGGATTTGGGCCTGGTTTAGAAAAACTGTGTGGTTGGGGTGGGCTGTCTAGACTCTGGGGTTGCACTTTGACAGTTTTCAGTTTACGGTAGGCAGCACTTATACTTCATAGCTCCGGGTTTTGCAGGTATATCAAACGCTGTAAGGGACAATCCTACCACTGCCGATTCCACTGCTCCCAAACACACAACATTACCAACATAGCCAGCCCTGATGCCATTGACCATAAGGCCATCAGGTTCTCACACAGACATTTTGCCTGTAGATGCAGATTCCAGCAGCCTCGATTCCCATAACCGGGGAATGCAACCCGTCCTTCAACAGGCAATATGGGATAACCATAGTGGCCGCAAGGGATGCCCTCTTTCTCCCTATTTATGTGTCCTGCCTTTCACTTCTTTGTTCTTTGATGCTGAGCGTAGCTTTCAGGAGCGTTCGGTGAAACCTCAGGAGTTTTCCATGCTCCGTCACCCATCTGGGATCTGGAGCATGCTGATGATGTTTTTCTTCCTTCGTGTTCAACGCAGCAGTTTAACCGATTCTTTCATTTGGTTCAATACCTCCGGCGGTCTAACCCTTGACCAGGACAAGCATGAACACTTACGACTTCACTCCACTCAGAGAACTTTCTATTCGCAGCAACTTTTGTGTGTTTGTGATTGCCGTCACTGTTCAGGATACAACCACAACCTTGCACCTGTGACATGTGCCCCTCTCCGACGAGTCGAATATCTGGGAGTGTACGTGGACTTCCCTTCATCCGGCCGTAAAGGCCTTAATCAATCTTAATCATAGAGTTTCGCAGGCTAGGCTGTAACATCCTCGTGTTGCCTTCGTCGTTTTCTCTCTCACCCCTTTCTCGCGCCTTCTTGGAAACTTATACTGTCTAGCGTTCTCTAGTTTGTTTGTTTTGCATGCACATACGCCATGGACCGTGCTCTTTTTCCCTTGCTCAAATCGCGAAGGTAAACACTGTACCTTTTAAGGCTCTCCGCCGGAAAAGAAGAAGTAAGTCATCCTTTCATCATTGGGTCATTGAGCCCTCAGGTGCGGATAGTTCTAGCGAGTACCTGGCAGGCTTGGCCTTCCACGCGTTGAATTCTCACTCCTTTCCAAGATTTTCCAAGTATACTCGGAAAAGCCCTTGCAGCTCCTTTGGCACTTTGGCCACTCAAATTAACATCCGGAGTCTTTGGAGCATGAAACAACATTTAGGAGTTCTTCCGCGAGTTGACATGTTAGCTCCCCACAGCGGGCTTATAGACCCCACCCACGCTGGCCCGAATCATACTTCGTAGACGGCATCGCATCGGCCAAAATAGATTACATGGTCTCCGACCACCCTCCTAGCCCTGCAATGCCTTTGTTTCCATACTTATTATTGCTCAAATTCAGAATACACACCACAGCCCCTCCGTAACGTGAGTGGACAACACCCAGCTTTTAAGGAAAGCGCACTCTGCACCTGTTTAATTTTTCGTGACGGAAAAAACTAGAAAGCTGCTCCATAAGCCTTGTTCCTTCAGTCATGCGCATTAACATGCCTTCATTGTACAAGCAGTCGGTGCTGCCGGGCTACCGAAATTGTAGCTTTGAGCATGCGAAAAAGCATAGCTGCGGAACGAGAACTACTTAACAGAATGATGTCCGCGTGTGTGCAAAGCTTGGGCCTGTGCGACTGCGTGTTGGTCAGTTGATGGGTATCGAGCTGGACCGCATGCTCGCTTACTCGCTGCCGATGTCTGGTTGAATTCGCAGTGACAGGTGTTCCAGAAGTGGTCCTGTGTGATGATACGCCTGGACCGCCTGACCCGGGCGTCCTGAAAACATCTCTGCAGGCCATAACAACGAATAGCCCGGGCACCTGTTTTTTTTCGAAATTGGAGTCGTCGGGCCGAGTCTTTCAAGAGACCGTTCGTAGTCACTTGCTTGTGCATGGTTCCTCGAGTTCCCGAGTGATCAAGTCTTCAGTGTGCCAACAGGACACGACAGGACCATGCGCAGGGCCTGTCTTGTCATAGGAGTTCTATGAACCAACGAATTCCGCGAGTTCGCGTCTTTGTCTCAGGCAGAGGACTTTCTCTGCATCCGGCGAGCAGCAGGCGCTGCAAAGGAGCTGCAGCGACTCGCCGAGGCGTGAGAGGGAGGGGGAGCCACGTTTTTAAACGTCGAAACGTCTGCTCCGCTGGGAGCCCAGGCCGGGATGCAGGTGTGGACCTTGGACTCGGACTCGGGCAACTCAGCGAAGCAACCGGAAGCTGCCTCTTGGCTCACAGCTTTTGACGCTTGAAACCAAAACTGCCGGCAGGAGAAAATCTCTTCTGAAACAGAGTTAATGACACGTGCCAACACTATCGCCCGCCTGCCTGCCTGCTTGTCTTTGCTGTTTTAGCATCTTGCATTCATTCTTCGAGCTTGTGCAGAAGGATGGTGGAAGCCGGGAAAAGCCAAATATGTGTTCTGTGTTCACTGGTCCATGCCGCATTTCTCGAGCTGATGATTCGAGCCACTGAATCTGATTGCTGGTTGCTGTTTTCCGTAACACCTGCGGATGGCTGTTGCTGCAAAGGCAAAACCTCTCGTTGACATCACGTCACTGTCGCATTAGACCTTTGGGCCACAGAAAAATCTGGCATGCTGCTCGATCGAATTCCGAGGACTTGTTCGAGGACTTGGCGCCATGCCCGCCAGTGGCGCTTGGCTTGGGATGTCGGACTTTTGTCAGCAAATCGCCTTGAACATTTTGAGAATTTGTTAGAACTGCCACACATTCTGCACCCGGTCATTGCTACTCTGCAAACGGGGTCATGTCAGTAGCAACTACAGCCCATCTGAACAGAAAGGCGATTACCGGTTGCAAGGCAGACTTACGAGCTCCACCGGCAAGCGATAGAAACCAGGCTCATTCTCTCGCAGCGCTGATGCAGCGTTTGATGTCTTCAGACTTCATTTAGCCTTGCTGGCCTTCATAAAGTTGAGGCTCAACATACGGGGTTTGTTTGCGCCGTTTGCACAAAACGAATTATAGGGGCTGCCCAAGCAGCTACTTTATTGTCGGCACTTGAGCATTGCCTTGGCCTGAGTATGTCATTCGATTCCGTTGGCGTCACACCATCTTTAGCCACTCCGAAGATCATGCAATGGATTGCAGCACATATGGGTGGGACTTCAATCATGTAGCAGGTGAAACTCATCACTAGCTTGTTCCCGTTCTTGTTGAGGATTGCTGGCTTCCCGCGAATCCGAGCATCTCCGGTCTCCGGCCGGAAACAGTGAAATTTCCTGCGGACTTTTACTGCAAGGTCATAGGCGCAGGAGGTTTCGCACTCCCACTTACAGGGGTTCGCCTCCTTGCTCCTCCTCGGCCAGTTTGGGGGTATGAGGGGATTCCAACAAGCACCATTGCTCTTCCATTCCGTGAACGAGCTCGGCGTGCGCTGCATCTGCAGCTTTGGCATAAGCCATTTTCTGCGAGCTTCCAAACTGAGCTTTCAGGGCCTTAGCTATACAGTGTTAGATAGTGTTAGACTCCGGTGAGACATGCTTTCCCTGTTCCTTGGTGTCGTGGTGGCTTTGACCCACGGTGTCCTCACTCCACCATGCAAGATCTTCTTAAATGCTTTTCAGATGCTAAGGTACCTGTGCGGCATGCTGCAGGGGCAGATATTCGCCTGAGCATAGGTGTGATCGGGAGCGTGGCAACTTGGCAGAATTAATTTCAACAATATCGTTCAAGTCCATACGTTGCTCAAGATATTGGGA